TCTACTGTATGTATATATGGAACGCAGAAGCGAGGACATGGCTGTGCCGGCTGTGGTCATAGCTCTGTATCTCTGGGCTTCGGGAAAAGTTCGAGTCTGAGCAACACAAAGACATGACAATGCAGTGGAAGCAGCGGACATGGTGGCTTGTTTCTTCTTGTGGCTGGTACGGGGGGTTCGGGATTTGGGGGTGTATTGTTATCCAGCCGTGTGGTTGCACTAGCTTCTTTCGAAAGGGTGGTGAGGGTTTAGGATTCCCAGTGATTTCAGAACCCCTTAAGTAAGAAATATTCCTTGCAATTTGGTGATTTTTCATGAGGAGTTCTTGATTCAGCCGGTTTGGGGTTTCATTCCTTAGCGGTTGAGGGGTTTTGGCTTTGGAGATACCCAGGCCGAAACCCTAAACTCAAAAACCTGGAACCCAGAACCCCGAAAGCCTACTCGGAGGATCACCGGACCTAGTACCTGGGGATCCATTATGAAACCTTTTCAGGAACCCTTTCAGGAACCCAATAAGGTCACCTAGGGACTTCCTGGAGAACTCTAGACTCCCCTTGGAAGACCTCCAAGAACGCGCCAGAAACCAAACCTGAAACCCAAAACCGGAAAGCCCAAAAATCCCAAATCCCCAATCCCTTGTTTAGGTTTTGGGGTTGAGGATTTAGGGCCTTAGCCCTAAACCCTGGACGCGCCACGGCTGCGCCGGCTCTCCGGAACCGTCTCGTATGGAGATTTTGTTCACCGCTTTGGGTTTAGGGTTTTCAGTGTTGGGTTTAGGGTTGCTATTCGCGCCTCCACATCAGCCTGAAGGTTAAGGACCCTTGTAGCCTTTCCAGCCAATTTTCCTGAGCGCCTGGCACGATGTCAACAATCGCACTGTCCAGCACCGCCTCCTTCACAAGAACCTCGCCAGGTCCAAAGTGCAAGATTGTAACCCTGAGCCCTAAACTCTAAACCTCGTGATCTCAACCCTGAACACTCTAGAGCCTGAACTCTAAACGTTCGGGCCTCAAGCCTACACTCTGGACCCAAAGCCCTGAACCCTGCTGACATGTGCGAAATCCCAGCGGGTGTTGAATCTATCACCCTGCGACGAAGGAAAGGGTCGCATTCCCAGAGAAAGCTGAGGCCTGTGCACAAGATTAGCCTTGAAGCTACAGTTCTCCGTATCGGAGGGTCTCTTATCCTAACCCCGACACCCCCCCTAAACTCTAAACCCTAAAGCCTGAAGCCGAAACCCGAAACCCTACTCATTGCCTTGTCGAAATCACGGCATGCTCTTTGGCGCAACTTAGGCGTCAAGGCCAAGAGACCCGGATCTTGCCCAAACCTGAAACTCCATAGTTATTTTGTAGTATCTCAAGTAATAACATATTGTATCAGACAATAATATGATAGCATATCAAGTATCAAATAATATTATGCTATAGTATACCTTAAGACAACCCAGAAAGCCCTGGACCCCTTGACCCTCAAACCTGAAACCCTCAAACCTAAACCCGAACCCTAAACCTGAGAGCCTTGGACCCGAAACCCTTAAACCCTAAGAGGGCTTTTAGGGTTTAGGGTTTAAAAGAACCGGAGCCCAAGACCCCTGAGTTGAAACCGAAGCCGGACCCGAAAGCCCCGACAACCTCCTTCTTCAGGGCTCCATCCGGCTGGGCGGGTGTGGAAAATGGCCTTGCTTTGGCGTCCAGGGTTCAGGCTTCAAAGTTGGAGGGTGGGCTGAGGGGTGTCAAAGCTTCGGAGGGTGTAACGTTTTGGGATTTCAGGTTCTGTGGTGCTTTAGAGCTTCAAGATTCAGGGTTGCAGGGGCTGAAGGTTTAGGAGAGAAAGTTGAGGTTTAGGATATAAGCACACAGGTGTCGGTTTAGGAAGGAGTGAGCAGGTCAAAGGTTAGGTCTTTGCTGGTTTTTTGCTTTGTCGCTTGCAGTTGCTTCTTGCCGTGACACGGTTGTGGTCTTCAGGATTTGTTCTTTGGCCCTTAACCCCAAGTCCCATCTCCGACGAAACGAAAACAGACAAACAGAGGGGCCTGACTGTTTGGAATAGGGTTTTTGGGCCCATTCTCCCATAGACTCCCAAGCCCTGAAGCCGAAATCCCCGAATGCTGAACATTTACACCCTAATAGGATTAAGTGTCTGTCAAGAACTTGGGTGGGTCATTGAGGCCTGACCAAGAGGAGGGTGAGGTGGCCCTTTATACGCAGGGTGTGGGTTGAGAGCTTAATTAGCATTTAGATATAGGGCAGGGCCTTGGGGCTTTTTGAAGGCGTCAAGACTATCTAAGATCTAAACCCACTCGAAACCCTCAACCCTAAACCCTAAACCCTTAGCCCCGAGCCCTAAACCCCACACGCTCGGCCGAACAACTCAGGGTCTGGAACGGGCAGCGGCTTCGGGTTCTAAATGATATCCGGGCTCGAAGTCTAAAGGGTTCAGAATTTAAACCACCACCCCCCCTTCAGTTTGTAAGAACCTTAGGGAGGGCTGTAGCATTGAGAGCAATGCACGGTTTAGGGCTGTCGGGTATAGGATTTAGGTTTTCGGGTTTCATAATAACCCCAAAAACCTAAACATGTAGTGGGTTATAACCCTCAAGCCTAAACCCTACAGTTGTATCATGTTCCTATGATATAACGTATGTTATAGGAGCATGATACTACTGCCTACTGAGCCTCAGACCTGGCCAAGCAGCCCCAAGCAAGCTACCAAATCCTAGACCATAAACCCTAAAACCCTACCATCCTAAAGCTCTGAAGCCCTAAACTCTCAAACCCCAAAACGCTTAAGCTTTAGAGCAGCGAACTCGAAAGACAGGGCCCGCACCCAAACAGAAGAAGCCATAGCAGTAAGCGGAGACCGGGGCCCATGGTGGCGAATTATGCGGAGAGGGGGGGGGAGGTCTGGACTCAGGATGAAAGAGCCAATGCTTGGGGCTTTCAGGCTGAGGGGTTTAGGGTTTAGGGCTTTCGGGCGTTAGGTCTTGAGCTTCTTGGTGTCAGGCTGTAGGGTTTGGGCTTGAGGGTTCAAGGTGAGTGCTTTGGGCTGGGCAAGGACGGCCTCGAGGTTTGGGGTTTGTTTAGGCCGTGCTGAGAATCTCACAAGGACTCGAAGTGGCAGATATCTTGTACTTTAAACCTTGACACGAGGCATCCTGGTGGGGATTCTCGTCAGTATTGGGTGTGCTGAGGTTCTATCATGTGTGATCTCTCTGTACTTGAAGCCATGCATCATGCGACCGTCGAGGCTTTAGAGCTAGGGGTCAACACACTTCTAACGACTTGGAGGGCGAGGGGCAACGGACCCTCGACCACTCGTGCCCCAACTCCACCCATGACCTCCCACATCCCAGACTTCTAACACTTTAACGCGAAGGGGGCGAGACCCACAACCCTTCCGTGGAGCATAAGAACTCTCTGGCTCGAAATCCAGGATCCAAACAAAAATGCCCCACTGGAGAAACTCAAGCACATCATTCCGCTTACCTGCAGCCTTGGCTCCAAGCCCTAGCCCCCGAAGGCAGAAGCACCCACGACCCCAAGTGCCAAGTACGAAGCCATATCCTAAATCCTAAACTTCCCTTAACCTAAAAGCTCCCAAGTTCAAGCGCTGCCGGCTCGAAAATGTAACCGTGACCCAGACGCTGAGCCCTAAACCGAGACGAATTCGAATCCCAAGATCCCGCACAGGGCTGACACGAAAGGCAGTGTTTTAGCAAATGGGTCGTGCGAACGGTGCGGCCGGATCTTACCTTCACCTGCCTTCAAAGGAAACTCGCCACTATCAGATTTCTGGGTCGCAGCTTATGGGAACAAAGAAAGCACCCAAAACTACACATGGTTAACGTGCCATCCGCACAAGGGGGTAGGCTTAGACTTGCCATCACTATCACCCTACTTCTTGCCTGGATCATATTAGAACCCGCATCATGGGTGTAGTCGTAGTAGTAGTAGTAGTAGTAGTAGTAGTAGTAGTAGTAGTAGTAGTAGTAGTAGTAGTAGTAGTAGTAGTAGTAATAGTAGTAGTAGTAGTAGAAGTAGTAGTAGTAGCAGCAGCAGCAGTAGTAGTCGTCGTCGTCGTCGTAGTAGTAGTAGTAGTCGTAGTAGTAGTAGTAGTAGTAGTAGCAGCAGGAGTAGTAGTAGTAGTAGTCGTCGTCGTCGTCGTCATCGTCGTCGTCGTAGTTGTAGTAGTAGGAGCAACAGCAGCAGCAGCAGTAGTAATAGTAGTAATAATAGTAATAGTAGTGGCGGTCCTCGCTGTAGCAGTGGCAGTGGCAGTAGCAGTAGCAGTACTGCGTGGAAGCCATACTGCCTGCTTAACAAGACCGTGCAAGTGAAAGACAGTCACACGGAACATGCCTTCCCTCTCACCGATCCCCTTTCGAGGTTTCCATGCAGCTACCTCCAGCCCTAAGCCTACAGCTGAAACCCCCAAATCTGCTAGATAGCCACCGACTACCCGGATAGCCAAGAATAGTGATAACGATGATAAGACGACTAACGATAGGTAATAATCCTAGTAAGACTAAAAACCGTGAACTTGCAATACAAGGCCGGCAGCTGGAAGGTAACTCCGGCGCACTCGAACAGGTTGCAGAGGCTGGGTCCACAGTTCATGGACTCATGCAGTGGTGAGACGGTCCTAAACTCTACAATGCTCAACCGAATCTTGGGAATTCCAAACATCAACTCCCGACTGTATGGTTAAGGCTTGCGGTTCACGGTTGGAGGGCTTAGGGGTTTATGGTTTAGGTTTCAGGGGGTCCAAGGGCGTGCATACCGACCTGAAACCTACATCCTCAGCCGGAGCGAACTCTAGAGTGCCGAGTGTCCTAAGCCCCAAAGCCACAAAAGCGCGCTCGGAAAAGCCCCCCTACCCTAAACCCTAAACCCTAAACCCTGAACCCTAAACCCTAAACCCTAAACCCCTAAACCCCTAAACCCCTAAACCCCTAAACCCTAAACCCTAAACCCTAAACCCTAAACCGTGGCACATTCTCACAACTCCCGGGGTCTGGGGCTGCCCAGGAGAGCCTCGGCTCCCAAAAGGGGCCCAATAGGAGGCTTTGAGGGTTTTGGGGTTTTATGGGTTTGTAGTTTAGGGTTTAGGGTTTAGGGTTTGGGGGGGTTTTGGGGTTTTTGTGGTTTTGGGGTTTCTTGGGGTTGAGGGTTGAGGGTTTTGGGGTTTTAGGCCTTTCTGGTTTTAGGGCCTTAAGGTTTTTTAGATCTTTAGGGCTTTGGGGTTTCAGTGTGTAGGGTGTGTTCTTGGTGGTCTAAAGGTTTTAGGGTTTCAGGGTTTATGTTTGAGGTTCAGGCTTCCGGGCCTCCTTCTTTAAGAAGTTCTTGGCTTAGAGTCTTGGGGGGCAGGGTTGGGCTTTAGGGCCTACAGGGCTTCGGGCTTCAAGGATGTCAAGCTGGGGTCCTAAACCCTTCACCCTTCAACCCTAAACTGTAAGCTTGAGGGCTGGAGTCTGAGCAGGCTTTGGGTTTGGGATCTGAGGACGGATGGGTGATCGAGAGTCCAGAGAACTAATGTAGGCTTCTGAGGAGGCTTATCCTTACCAAGGAACTCTAAGGAGTTCTGCTACTAGGTGACTTCTTAGCTGTCGGGTGGAGACCTTGAGACCCCGGGTTTGGGCTTGTTGGCTGGGTTGAAGGGTTGAAAGGCCACAAGCAGATTTGTATTTATCGCTGGCATCCCCGTAGTAACAGCCAAAAGTTAGACTGCGTGGCTGTACAGCAATGTCTTTTCACGATGTAAAACACATTGCTGTGCAGCAATAACCCCCAAGAGTTCGACTCACCAACCAATACCACGAGAACGCAGGAAAGCTCTGCCAACCGACTCCAAATCTCTTCAACACCCGAACCTAAACCCCAAAGCCTGAGCGTTCAACCCCAGCCCCACGAAGCTGAAGCTCATGAAAACACCATGCAGGCCTTCCCAAGCTCCACACCAGCCCGAAATCCCTGAAGCCCTAAACCCTGAATCCTTTCAACCCTAAAACCCTAAAACCCCTGAAAACCCCCTAAATCCCTAAGCTCCCCAAAGCCCCTGGATCTCGGAGTGCTTGAACGCAAAAAACAGGCCCGGGGACCAGCGGGGCAGCAACGCCTGCAGCCTGGACCAAGCCGAGGCTGCTGGGCCTCGCAAAAAGCTGCTCTTTAGTATAGTTTGAAGGATCTATAGGAGTACCATAAAGGTTTAGGGGTGTTCTCTAGCTTAGCTTAAAGGGATCTATAGGGGTACTTTAGGGGTTAAGGGTTTAGGGTACTTGGAGCGTCTAAGGTTTCAGGGTGTGGGGTTTAGGATGCTTTTGAAGAAACAGAAGCGTATAGTGTCTTCAGATTGGGCTCAGAATTTAGGGTTTAGGTTTCAGGGCTAGCAGTTTGGGGTTGGGGGTTGAGCACGGAGGGCCTTGGGTTGAGATGAGGAGCTAGGATTTCGGGTGGGCCTGGGGTTAAGGGTTTAGGGCTTCAGGGTTGGAGGGCTGCAGGCTTGGGGAGGCAACGCTGGTTGAGATTCTGATTAAACGGCCGGAGAGCCTGAAGGTCATGCGTAGTGTCAAGGTTTCCTTTCAAATATTACAATCTGGGTGTCAGGGCCCTTTTCAAATTTCTGGGCTCAGAAGGCATTCGTGAGGACATGGACTAAAATTTCGTCGTACCTTGTTCTGTAAGTGTACAAGCTAAACCCCAGACCTGGTTTCTGAGAGCATCCTCTTTTTAGAGCCTTTGCGGGATTCGCAGTATTGTACGGCACCTGCTTAAGTGCGCGCTCGTAGTCAGTAGAGCCATGTAATCTTATCCGACTCAGCCTCCAAGAAACCACGACTGAATGGCAGACTCAATAGAGTAGTGGCTTCCCCGCCAACCCTGCTGGCTTCTTCGAATTGCGCCTCCAGGCATCGGAGATTGCAGTTGCGTCGTATCTCTCGACCTGTCAAGCACAGAAGGCGAGACACTTCAAGTTGAAAGACTAGGGGACTCTGTGGTTTAAGGTTTGTACACGGCCTATTGTCGAGGAATGTAGGTTCGTCAGGTGGCTGTATAAAAACTTTAAGATCGCAGGATGTAGTAAGTAGGAAGCAAGAAAATAGAATCATAATCTTATGTACTTACTTACATCCCACGTATGGCCTGCTTATTGGGTCTCCCGATCCTTCAAAAAGGGTCCTGGAGACTTCCGAAAACGTAATCTCTCGACCCTGAATCTCAAATCCAACACTCTTAATCCTAAGCCCTACACCCCAAAATACCTGAGTAGTTTGGAAATCAATTTCCCTTTATTGTTTCGGCTCCCGCAAAGCGTCACTCGTGTGATGAAGGCCCTGAACGGAACTCGACTTCAGAGAATCGCTCCAGCTGTAGTCAGCGACCAAAGGCAGCGACCCACCCTACACCTTGAACTCTATTCACCCCAAACCCAAGAAGCCGAAAATACCCCGCAACTTTGGGAGCTCAAAGGGACTCACATCTTTGAGCTTTAATGCAGTGTATCGCCCCTTTTCCGCCGATGCTATTGCTCTGAGGCTTGGGGTTGGGTGTGTAGGCTTGGAGTTTAAACTTCTTTTAGGAGTTGGGGTTTGGACTGCAACCCCGAAGACTCTATCCTAGAATAGGATGCTCGGGTACATTCTGCTATCTCTCAGGCACGGATTAGCGACACATCAGCCCATTCAATTATTTGGCATGCATGCTGCCCTCTGCTGAAACCTGGTGCGAACACCGCATCTTCTTCTGACGTCGCAGACCTGATAGTAACCCTGAAAGTAACCCTTTGGCAGCCTTTAGCGGTGAGGCCGAATAAATATGATAGGAACCCCCAGGTTTGTGGTGATGAGCCCAGCATAGCCTCCCAACGAAAGCTCCGCGGCGCTCTGTCCGGATAGAGCTCGTAGCAGTAGCCCACGCTCATGATGTACTGCCTCAGGTAAGGGTTTAGGGAATGGGGTTTAGGGCTTCGGATGTGGAGGTTAGGGCTTTTTTCGATCGCGCAAGTTCCTATCCGGGAACCGTCAGCACCAGCCATTGTGGAGGTGGACGGTATGGAAGATGAGAAGCAAGCATGACAGACCTAAACCAAAACTACCAAAAAGGAGATTGCATAGCCGATCTGATATAAGTGGGCTGGCAGCAACCGATGGGGGCTCGGGTTTCGTGTACTCCGTGGGTTGACAAGGAGACACACTCTCCAAAGGATTCAGGGTTTAGGGGTTCTGGGGCGGATATCGTTTTTGGGTCTCCCCTGTCGTTTCCCAACACGTCAGAGCATTGACCGAAGCAAGGCCCTGCTGTAAACTAGATTCGTCTTCGCAGACATTTATTGTTGCTTCATGTTATACTATCGTTATATGACGGAACTCATGGGGATGGTAGTAGTATTCAGAAGATTATTCAAACCTCTAACACCCTAAACCCGTACACCCAATACTCACCCCTATGGTTCCCGTATGAGATGTACAAAACATGGTTGAGGAAACCCCTTACGTGAACCTTTGTATATAAGGTCATAGAAACCGGAAGCTGAACGGCTAAAAACCTGCACCTGCAGTGCATGGGTGCCAACATCGAACATTAATCCCTAAAGTCTCGCTAGCCTGACTAGAACCAAGGGTATAAAACCATGCTAGCAAAAGCCCCGAAAAATTTTGAAAGCGCCTGAACCCTAACCCAAACTTAAAGCCACCAAAACCCCTAAACCCAAAACCCCTAAACCCCAAACCCCAAAGCCCTAAACCCTAAACCGTGGGCTTTGTGACTAAACCCTGGTTCGTCGCATCCTCCGCCAGGGCCCCGAGCCGAGTTAGGTCTCCTCCACACCTGTCGTTCACGAGGTAGTCCACCTGTTTTCCGGCTTAGGGGTGTAGGGTTGAGGGTTTAGGGCTTTAGGGTTTTAGGAGGTAGTCCACCTGCTTTTAGGGGCTTTGGGGGTTTAGAGCTTTTAGGGCTTTCTTAGGGCGTTTATGGTTCAAGGGTTTGGGGCTCAGGTTTTAGGGTCCAGGGTTCAGGTTTGGTATAGGGTTTAGGGTTCAAGCTTGGTATAGGTTTTAGGGTTCAGGTTTTAGGGTTTAGAGTTTAGGGATCAGGATTTAGGGTAGGGTCTAGGGCTCATGTTTCTGGATGCTTAAGGAACTCGTTGATCTTTTGAAGGTGGTTTTAACTTGCCATAAAGAAAGGTACTTTGCTTTCCTTACGGTGGTTGCAGAAATAAGCTCCTTATCATCAACCCAGATCTACAAGCTCCTAGGACCTGTCTGACGGGTTGCAGCACTCGTCCAGGGTTTAGGGTGCTTTTCGGGCATAGGGTTTAAGGATTCAGGGCTTTCGGGTTTGGGGTGGAGAAGTTTTCAGTGCCGGCGATTGTTTTTGCTCCAGGGTATGCATCACCAACATCACCTGCGCCATCAGATCATCATCGTGTTGGTTCATCATCCTCACGATCTCGACACCGCTTGTATCTGCATGGTGAACAACATCATCCTGACGTCGCTGGTCTACAGCGAAGTTTTTCCTCTTTCTCGCTACCATAAACGCAGCGAGGGTGATGAGTGCCCTAAACTCCCTCACCGCAAAGGCTACACTTGAGACCCTGCACCCAGGTGAACCCTCCATCCTACACCCGAAAAACCAATCCTAAACCCGCACCCTCAACCCAGAGCCCCGGACCCTACAAGCTCCAACAGCTGGCCTGGGTGACATTCGTCGTTGTGGGATCCACGCGAAATGCCTGATACCGGCTGTTGGGATCGGGCGCAGGATCCAGGGTTTGGGATCGAGGTTTAGGGTGCCGGGTGCAACAGAACCTGTAGCCCCTTCTGCTGGACGTTTAATTCCTTTGACGCTCATGGTCCCGGGTGTTAGAGGCTATCTACTTATGGGTTGCGGGCTGAAGAGGATACTTGGAGTTCGTGCCTAGCAGTTCGTGGATACAACAAGAACTGAATTTGTTGCTGTCGCCATAGACTGCCGACTCACCTGCTTGCAAACGTACCACCGCCTGCTAGACCGCAATGTACCGCAATCACACTGGCTTGCTCTTTCAACGTAGGGCCGTATCTGCGGACAATGACCACATCATAACACGAGAATTATGCAGAGCCTCCCTAGACAGAACTGTAGGTCGATGAAGGCCCCAAAAGCAGACCCTAGTGCAAGCGTTTCAGGTTTGGGTGTCGGCGTACAGTAGAAGCCAGAAAGTTGGAATATCATTAGCATAATCCCTTTAAGGCAAATTGTAGGGGATCCTGCCATTATTCCATATTCCAACTTTCTGGCTTTTACTTTAGGGTTAGGGTTAGGGGGGTTGTTGGTGTTTTGGGCTTTGCGGTTAGGCGCTTCAGGGTTCACGCGCCCGGTGACCTGGATAGACCATTTGGAGGAGTTTGTGAACAATAGGGAACGGGCCGCACTACGACGGCTACTACTTCATGAAGAAGAGATCGTTTGGGGTTAATTGCGTCGATAGTCATTGAAGGGCCCAGGATAAGGGTTTAGGGTTTACGGTTTAGGGTTCAGGGTTCAGGGTTTAGGGTTTAGGGTTCAGGGTTTAGGGTTTAGGCATGCACTACAGCTTTCGGAGTTCGGGGCACATCCGCTGCCAGCGGCCTGGGTGCCATTGCTCGCACGCATGCACTCGTTCTGGACCGGATATGTGAAGACCTGCCGATGCTGTGACACGCAAGCGGGCCAGATCTGATATTACCCCTCAGCGACAATGGCAACTCGTCAAGATGTATTCACAATATTTTCTGTGACGGCACTCAGACAAGCAATCGTAGCACTCTACATAGAGTGACAGGAAATGAGGAGTGGCTGTAACAACAAGAAGCACGAAATGCGACAAGATTCTGCCTGCAACACTGATGCATCTACACCCGTGCCTGAGACACCGTAGCATTGGCAAGCTTGGTACATTGCAGCTAGCTGCACAAAAGCCCGAGCAAGATGCTGGCATCTACAAGTTTTATACATGTATTTACGTGTATACATAATTTTCACATTGTACTTTTGGGCTGACATATGCGTGCAAGCACGTAGAAACGCATGTACATCCGTACGCAGGCATGTGGATATGGGTGTGTGTTTACATAATACAGCTCATACTGTCCAAACCTCAACCCTAGATGCCGAGCGAGTATAGTCGACGACATGGCTCTGCAGAGACAACGGGAAATTATGGTCCGGGGTTTGAAGCACTTGTTCTAGCCGATGCCTGCGAGCTTATGCCTTAGACAATCAGGGGTTAGTTCAGACCAAGGCTTGGGATTCAGGATCAAAACCTTACATTGGCCCTAGTCCCTGAACCCAAACTACCTAGGCTTTGGGATTCCTGAGCTGTTCCTTGGCCTCGTAGGGCAGCCCAACACACATTGACTCGGAGTAGAAGCGCTGCTTCGTCACCTCGGAGGGCCAGCGTTGGGATTTGGGATTGGGGTTTTGTTGTTTAGGGTTTACGGCTTCGGCCTTGGGGTTAAGGGCTTAGGGTTTAGGGTTTAGGCTCAGGCGCAAGGCTCCGTTGGCGTTGCCGCCAGCTGTTTTATTAACAACAGATGCAATGATCACAGCAACAGTAGTCCTCGCAATGATGATACCAGAAACAATGGCAACAAACACAACAGTAGTAAGAAGACTACTGACTGCAATACTACCTTATTACAATGGCAATGAAAGTGTCTGTCATGACGATGAGGGCAAAACGGTCAACCACAAATGATGACAGAAATGACACCGTCTGCACTCATCATCTTCTCATAATAGTAGTAGTGTTTATCAAAGGGCTTTTGAGGAGTGAGAGCTCTCAACGGAGACTCTGGAACTGCTACCAAGGCAGACTCGAAAGCAGTCTGGACCTATACTCGAAACTCGTAACACTTGAGTAGCGGTACCATTCCCTATGGGTTCACTGCTGTGTACCCCAAAACCCAATCCTAGCAAAAATTACCTTATAGCAAAATATGCCCCAGAAGCCTATTCTGATGAGCTTCTGAATCAGGGTTCCTACACTTCGAGGTTTGTGACCAACAACCTGAAATCGAAGACCCGCGGACCGCCGCACCCTTGAAGAGGATTACAGGTGTAGGCTTAGGGTTTAGGGTTGGCACAGGGGCCTTGAGAGTTACAATAGGGTTTTGGTGTAGGTTTTACTACAACTTCATGAAGCAAGCCTAAGAAATAGGACCGAAAACCGAACCTCAAAGAACCCAAGCCGAGCCGGCCACTGCCAGTCTGGAGCAGTCTTGCCCCTGGCATTGGGTGCAGATTAGGATGAGAATGGCCCCTTTACCGTCCTCCAGTAGCATCCATCCTCCATGATTCGGAACATTGTTCCTGTGCAATCTGCCTATTCGGAAATAGCTTGGGTGAGAAGCTCTCAAATTCCGCAACAAAAACACAACTTCCCTAACCCGTAACAAAAACACAACTCCCCAAACCCGTAACCCTAGATCTTAAACTGGGCCCTAAACACTAAGCCGCTAAGACCAAGGGGGCCTTATGCCCTAAAGCCTATACGGACCCCGGCTGCTAACCCCTAAACCCTAATCCCAGGAAGGTTGTCACTGGCTAGCGGCGCGCCTGTTTCGCTTCCACTCCCAGGGCTCCCCATCTTTCACTAGAGCCGATGCTTTTATTGTAACGAATTCACAGGGTTTGGTAAGTTTTAGCAGACTTTTACGGACTCTGAGTTGAAAGACCGTCTGCAATAAACACCAGAGGATTTTGGGGATACTGTATTTTAATATGGTTATACAGGGGTCTGAACATACAATATTACTGAACATCAAACCTCCATCTCGTCTCATTAAAGGCTTAAACCCCTAAACCCGAATTTGGGGTCGAAAGCCCGAGGCGCCATAACCCTTCGACGTGCTCAACCCTGAAACCGCAAAGCTCTGAAAGCCGAAACAAAACCCCGAATATCCTCAAGAGCAGAAAGCTCGCAAACCCTGAACCCTAAACGCTGTAAAACCTAGATCTCAGAACTTTCAAGTCCGTGGCCAGAAGCGATGAAATGTTTTGAAAAAAGGCAGACCCCAAACCCTAAGCGAACACCTACAAACCCAAAGAAAGCGGGCTCAAGAGCACCACGCAGGTGGAGGAGCGCAGCCGGTTCGTGATCTCAGCCCAGTAGCCTTGCAGGGCGGAAGAATTTCGGGCGTGTGGGACTTGTTTTCGGGAGTGGCCGCAGCTGCGAGGGCGAGGAAAAAGAGGCATGGTGCCGCCACATCTCAGAGACGACACCACGTGGCTTGTTCTCGGTTCGCACTTTGTCAGGGTGGGACATACAAACATCGTAGCAGGTGCCATGAGCAGTCACGTATTTCATGACGGCTCCTGTTCCTCCTAGCCTCTGGCAAAGTCTAGCTTCAGCCTTTTTGTCCAACCCCAAGACTGTGAACCCCCCGAAACCACCCTGAAGCCCTAAAACCCCAAACCCCTCGAGTGTCAGCTTTCGTCCAAGACTTGGGGTCTAAACCCCAAACCCTAAACGCCCTAAACCTTAACCCTGAAAGTTCAAAGGCTCGGGTTTAGGATTTCGGGCCAGGCTTCCGGGTTCGAACTTTGGCGTGCTGGGCTTGTTGGTAGTGGGCTCTGCTGTGTATGGTCTTGGGCTTAGGCTCTGCGGACTCTAGGGGTTTAGGTTTTAGGATATAGGGGCTTAAGATTGCAGGCTTAAGTGTGTAAGATTTACAGGTTTAGGGTTTAGGATTTAGACGTTTGGGGTTTCGGGGTTTAGGGGCTTACTGTTTCGGCATTTAGGGGTTTAGGGTTTAGCATTTTTGGGGGGGTTTAGGGTTGGGACACAGGTTGCTAAACGATGCAAATCTGAGCCAGTCCTAGGCAGCTGCCTCCGATGAAACGCTCGCACTTCCCCGACTCGAGAGTCCTGCACAGGGATTTAACTTTGGAGGGTTTCGGGTTCAGGGCTTAGGGTTCAGGGTTCGGGGTTTAGGGCTTCCGGGTTTTAGGGTGTAGGGCGTGGGGTGTAGGGTTCAGGGTTTAGGGTTTGGTTTAGGCTTCAGGGTGTACGCTTTGAGTCAGAATTCATGCGCTGGGCTAAGCAGTAGATGTTGTACTGTAACTGGAGAGGCCTAGCGGAGGCTACGATTGGTGGTAGGCTGTACAAAAATACGAGTTGGCAGCACCTGGTGCACTAAACCTATAGTATTAAAGAGACTGCCTGGATTGAATCCGGTTTCGGGGGCTTTGGTGTGAGGGTGAAGCTTAAGAGAAATCAGTAGTAGGGCCACCGGAAGCTAAAAGCCAACGCGGGGCTTTTAAGATGCTTGATTTGGAGTAACATGATCCCTATTATAGGCACCCCAGTCCCTCCGAAAACACATTTGGTAGCTTCGCTTCGGCTTCCAAGTGAAATGCGGGAACTCCTCTTCGGACTGAAGATCGTGTGGCACGCGTCGGTGTAGTCCTGGATGTCATACCTCGGAGCTTCATGGGCCACATCTGCCCTCTTCGCTGCCAAGCTGAGATACCGCGACCCACTAATGCGGGCTTTAAACCCCTGAGCCGAAGCCCCCCAACTCCAAATCCGAAAGCCCAACCTGAATCCCTAATTCCGAAAACTTAAACGTGGAGCCCTTGTACCCCAACTTCTAAACCCCAAAAGCAGAAACACTCAGCACTAGGGCTTCGAGCCGTGGTGCTGATTCAATCTCAACCGGGCGTGTGGCTGGAGAGGATAAACAATCCGACATCCAAAACCCGATGTCCTGAAGCCCCAAACCCTAAAGCCCGCAAAACCCTGAAACCATAATCCTACACTACCCTAAGCCCTCGACCCTGAAACCCGATCCCACCGGAATCCAAGACCTTGCGACACCCTAAAATTTGTAACCCCAGGACCCTGAGCTTCATGGGAGCCTCAGAACACGAAGGGGGCGAATGCAGGTCACAAATCAAAACCTAAGGCCTTGATCCACTGATCAGTTTTGGAAACAACCTTATCAACCCCTATACATGTCCAAATACCCTTCAAAAACCCAAAGACCCCTTGTTTTGTGTGGCTAGGCATATTTTGACTTCGGGTCTGTGGGGCTTCAGGGCACTTGGAAGCTGGAAGGGGCTCAGGGAATGTCACATGCCGTTTGCATTGGGTTTAGGGTTTAGCCCTCATGGCTTAGGATTTCAGGTTTAGAGTTTAAGCGTTCGGTTTCGGGTTTGGGGTTTAGGACCTGTGAGGATTTAGGGTCTAGGGTTTATGCAAGCCCTGTGATTTATTGAACACCGCTTCTTCCTTGCTACATGTTGTGATGCTCACCACTATCACGATGATCTTGATGGCGACACCACCACCACCACCACCACCACCACCACCACCACCACCACCACCACAAGTACCACCCGCCGATCATCATCGATAATGTCAGTGCTTTCAGCAGATTGGTAAGACGAGTGCCCTAAACACTCTGCCTGAGGTCGCCACTTGAAAGGTTCGACGAAGCCCACGATCCTCACTTTGAAAGCCTCTGACAGACCGCTGTAGATCAGGTTCAGGGTTAGCGGTTGTTGGCACGTGCTCAGTCAGAGAAGTTACGATAGCAATCTTGAATTTCCGTCATGATTACAACCATAGATAATTTCCGACGAACGCACTTACGGGGAGTGACTCCGACTCTTCTCACCCTGCAACTGGCCGATGCTGACACATCCGTGTGTGCATTAAGAACTGAAGCTTCGGGGCAGTGAAGGTTTGGGGTTTAAAGCAACGTGGAGACCGGCAGTGCCTTGGTCGCATTCGTGTAGAGGTTCGCATAGCAGCCATCGTCAAGAAGCAACAGCTCGTCGTACCTGGAACGAACTCAGGACCCTAAACCCTAGACCCTGAACCTCGGGGGTTTGGGTCTAGCGACTTCAAACGAGCAGCAGAGACTTCAAGGCCACGCGGACCCGAAACCTAGAGACCGCTGCACCCTGGACCTGGAGCCCTCGAACTCCGAACTACAACCGCCAGAATGCAGCCCTCTACTCACGAAAACTACCCTGGTTGAGTCGTCCAAGCTCTCGTGCACGTGCACCCACAGTTGCAGGCCAATGGGATAGAAATGCCTTCTCTTCAGGTGTCTCTTCAAGTCGCTTACTGTACCGATCTCCTCGATGTCAACTTGAAGCAGCTCTGTCCCGTCAAGTGGCAGGACGCGAAGCATCGCAGAATGCAACTAAGTATTGGAAAAAATGCAACTGGTCGGGCTTCTGCACCAATACGTCGGCTTGCTGACGGAAGGGGTTTCGGAGGCCAACAGCCTCCACGAACTCTGCCAGGCTCCTGTGTGCCGTTTTAGTGGCGAGCGAGTCATTCCGTGATCAGACGTGCTACACCTGGCTACGCTTGAATCGCATGAATGCCAACCTATGCGTTGGGCACGGGTCGAAGCAGTTCGAGTCCAGGAAAAGCCTAACGTCGATGTCCAGCCTGGCCGCGGAGAGTTTCGGGAGTTGTTGCATTAGGGTCTAGGGTTCAGGGTGCAGGGTTTAGGGCTCGGGGATTTAAGAGCATAGGGATTAGAGCTGTAAAACAACACGGCCGTGGTAGAAGGGGTCCTGTGATCCTGCTTCTACGTGCCCCTGAACTTGCAAGTAAGTAAGTCATGTGGCCATGCTTGTCTGCCAGACAGCCTAGCAAAAAAGCTCTGAACCCTTGAGCCCTGGATATCGTTCTTGCCAACCGCTTCAGCTCGGAACGTGTTTTGTCTTGAACTGGCATACCGGCTTCTCGGAACAACCACCGCCCAACCCCCGAAGGTCAGAACCCTGACGATGCATCGCCAGGCACATCCCAACCCACCAAAACGTAGTCGACAGCCCTCAACGTGAAGACAAAGTTACCTCTGCATCCCCAATCAACCTTTGACCCTTACTCCGCCCAAACAAACTGTCAAGAACGAGCCCTGAAGCTCTGAAGCCCTGGTTCGGAACCCCCACTTTTGCAATCGATAAGCCCAAGCCTACTATCATCATCACCATCTTCACCATCTGCACCGTCATCATTATCGACGGAGCATCGTACGAAAAGACGAAGACTAATGACAGCAGCAAGCCCTAAGCCCTTAGCCCGAACTATAAACTCCAAACCCCAACATCGTGCCAAACCCGTGAAACTCAAAACCACAAGACACCAAGACCCTACACCCGAAACCCCAAGAAGGGATCCAAGCAAAATCCAAACACCAGCCAGGGCCCCCCACGTATCGCCGCTACTGGGACGCAGCAGCGAGGCTGCGAGCAGCCAAAGGAAGCCGCCTGACGTTTAGGGCTTAGGGGTTTGGGGCTTAGGGGGTTTAGGGTTTAGGGGGTTTAGGGTTTAGGGGGTGTAGGCTTTCGAGGTTTAGGCTTTTCAAGTTTAGAGTTTAAGGTTTAGAGCTGGGCGGGGGCGTAAGGTGTAGAGGCAATACTTTATGACTCAACCCTAACCCTGAACCCTAAAACTTCGTGTTCGGCAACCAAGGGATGCTCTGGCCCTGGCTTTGGGGCTTGGGCGCTAAGGGCTGAGATCGCATCAAATTACAGCTTAGGGTTTCGGGATTAGGCCTTTTCTTGAGGACTTTTTTCTATCAGCTGATTGGGGTTTAGGGGTTAGGGATGGTGAAAGAGAAGGAGAAAGCCAACCCTAGCAGTAATTAGGGTCGTGCACAACCAGAGACACCTCGGAGGAGCCGCATCACGCAAGGCTCACGGCGTGTTCATGCAGGGGCTTGCAGGCAGGGACTTTGTTTCTATTCCTAGGCTATCTTGCCGCTTAACAAAGAGGTCTCCTTCCGTGTTGTCCCAGCTTCGTGGCCGATAGTCTTTTTCAAGTGCCTACCGTGCGACTCAGACTCCTGAAGCCACTCCGTTCGTGAAGTGATGTTGTACATGCTTGAAGAAAAGCTTCACTTCTCTATGCTGGTTGGCCAAAGCCAGCGGCACGAGAGGTGCGAAGCAGGGAACTCATGACATCCTCAACCCTCCAACCGGTCAGCTGCCCCACCAAAACCTGAAGCCCAAAATCTCCACCCCGCTCCCGTTTACAACTCAACTTCAAAATCAAAAGACAACCCAAGACCCGCCTTGTAAACCTCCCCAGTCCGGAACTCCAAACACCCAAACCTGCAACGCTGATTCCCGAAAAAATCAAACCACAGAGACCCTGGACTCTAAACTCCAAAGCCCTTCGCTATGGCACCCTGGGTTCAGAGTTGAGAGGACTTGGGTTAAGGTTTAGGGTTTAGAAGCCGGGTGCTGCTGCTTCGCCCCACAGAGGCGAGCTGTACCCTTTTAACTTTTGAAGCGAGGGTAAAGTCATTGGCTCAGGTCAACCGGTGCGGCACGCAGTTCTCCACAAGTCAGCCGTGCTGACGACGCTTTCCCGCGCCAGCCGAACGAGGGCAAAATACAGGCACTGGTGGCCACTTAAGTGGGCATAATCTTCAGGGATTCTGTGGCTGGAATCTGTTTCTGGAATATACAGGTTGTTCAACTAGCAGCTTAACACGAAAACGGACTCGGCAGATCCCAAGCCACAGCTGGCCAGATGCAGATATGTCTGCATCAAATCAGCATTAGCAAACAGCTGTACAGCTTCGCCGATGGGGAGTTTAAGGCTATGGAGTTTGGGCTTTGAGGTTTAGGGCGCAAAATCCTGTACACGCGCTCGTCTGTACTTGGAAGCACTCGAGCCAAACAAGGCTAAGCACCGAGTCCTGGATGAAGGGGAACATCATTCGGGCTCTCAGGCCCAACCCTAAACCCTATACCCTAAGCCCGAAACCCTAAACCCTAACCCCTAAAACCTAGACCTCAGATCTGTGCAACCCTCTTGGGTTTCTGTTGCAATGAGGGAAGCTCCAATCTCTGAGGTCTTGAAGTCCTACAACCCCAAACCCTAAAGTCCTAAAACCTCAAACTCCAAAGACCTTAAACCTCAACCCCTAAAGTCCTAGAACCTCAAACCGTAAAGTCCTAAAACCTGAACTCCTAAAGTCTTTCGCTCTTTGGCACGAGTGCCGGAGGCTGAGGCTACTTAGAGTTCCTCACTAAGCACGGCTTCGAAGAAGGACACCTCTTGCGCGGGCAAAAGATGAAAACCGCCACACCAACCAAGAAACCCTTGGGTTTATGTGTAGGGCTTAGGGTTTTAGTTTTAGAGCCTAGGCTTTGGGGTTTTAGGGAAGTAGGGTTGAGGGCTTGTTTAGGCTTGTGGGGCGTGGGTTACGGTGTAGGGTTTTGGCGCTGTGGCGTTATGATTGTGGATTTAGGGTTGTCGGTTTGGGGTTCCACACCTCATTGAGCCTTGCTGGACAGGCTAGCAGTGTTTTGCGACCTGCGACATCATCGGCATCATCATCAAAGTGCATCTGTACTTGAGATAGAAGTGCATGCTCGGTCGCCAGTGTTTCAAGACGCCTTAGGGTAAAAAATACAGCAACTATAGTTACAACCCCAACTAGGATACTTACAGAATGATAGCCTTTCTTGCTAAGTCCCCTGATCCTTTAAGTAGGGTCTGACAAATCTCGAGGCTTGCGAGTTGGGGTTCCGTGCGCACTCGGCTGTCATGCCAAGAATCATCCCACATGGCCCAGTGAATTCCACAACCCGGTGTCACTAAACCCTAGACCCTACCCTCAACCCCTTATAACCCTTCAACTACAAACCTGACGGAGGCCCCTTGCAACTCCGATCCTGTCTTCTCTACTCCGAGCTGGAATCTGAGATGGACGACTCCTCCTCAGACAGGCCTGGCGCAAGCTTGGCATTACGGGGTTGGGGTTCACGGTTGGTTTTGTACGGTTCAAAGCCTGCCGCCGTTGGTTCCTTTTGAGGTGCCTCAAACCTTGTAGGAGCCTCTCTGCCATGCGAGGGTCCTGCTCGGCATGAAAAGGGTGCCGATCGTAGAGCCAACTCTTAGAACACAAAGCAGAAACTTTACCCGCACTCCGAAATCCAGAAAACTGGCAACAGCAGCCCGGGACCTTCATCGGTTTGGAGCTTGACCTGCCCCGGAGGCGTCTCCAAGAAAGAGGGCATGTTGAGTTTCGGAGTGTAAGGCTTTAGGGGTTACGACTCACTCTGTTTATCTCTTTTCAAAATGTTTGGGAATTGGGGCCAAGGGCTTAACTTATTAAGGCCCTTGAGCACTTCTCCACATGCTGTTTCATGTCGCAACCTCCGGGCTGCAAAAGGTGCGCTTCGGGCTCAAACAGCATGTCCCAGCTGAGGTTGCAGTAATCTCAAGCGGGGTTTTACTCTTCGAAACCCTGGTTGAAGCCCGATTGAAAACCAACTCGCTGATCCTGCACGTAACCCGTTTGGAGGTTTTTTGCTTTCAGGCTGTGGACGTGGGCCGGCAGGTGGGATGGAGGATTGACAACTTATTCCGCCTAAAATTTCGGGAACTGTAGAGATTTCAACCTAATGTTGGAGCCACCCGATTTCGACTCCCGGGTGCCTGTGACCCTCATGCCAATTCATTCCAAGCCCGGGCCTAAAAATTGAAACCTGAAAGGCCTGAGACCTAGAGCCACAAACTCGCGCCTGCCGCTGGTATTTCTTCATCTGCCACTTGGTCAGAAGCTTGCTCAGCTCGCAAAGCACGAGCGTGGCGGCAGGTCCTGATACAGGGTTTCAAGTTTCGGCCGTTGGGAGCAGGATTGTTCTTTCAGAGCGACGGCGTTGACAACGCCGTGCCTTTCCGTTATCTGCAGCCCAAACTCTAACCTTCCATGGAGGAACTCCAAGCTCGAGCACCCGAACCCAAAAAGCCTCAAACCTACAAACCCTAAACCCTAAACCCATCAACCCTAAAACCTAAAGAAACAAAAAGCAAAACAAAAGCAAGGAGGGCCTGAGAGGGAGAAGAGCCAGCCCCAGGCGCCAATGTGGAGGCCATCCAGGCCGAGGATCTGGTGTTTTGTTCCCCGAGGCATCGATTTGGGACAGGAATCAACAAAGTCTTGGGGTTTAAGATTCTTTGAACGCTTCAGGACTTAGGGTTTAGGGTTGAGGTTTAAAGTTTAGAGTTTGGGCCTTGGGCTCCAGGGGATTGGCCATCAACTGCGCATTCGAAGACAAAAATCCAACATCTCTCACCTGTTAACCCTCGACCCGATACACTACAATCGGAGAGCCCCAACTTCAAAACGGAAGGGTAAGTTTAGGCTTTATAGGTTTGACAGTTTCGGGTTCAGGGTTGTTGATGACTCTTTGCCGTTTTACCCAACAAAAACCGTCACCACTTCGGCTTAGAGTGGGAAGTATACCGGAATTCCCATGCTGCACGTAATGCAGGAGTCGGAGTCGGCCCATCAACCGCCCTAACGGCCCTATCGAGACCCTAAACCCAATAACACCTTACAAACCTTATCATATGCAAGCTGTGCAAGCCCCATAAGAGCAAGCCATAACTCAGCTCTTCGTTTCTATGTTTTGTTTTGTAGCTTTCTTGGTGTAGCTGGGCCTGGTCGGAGAAGAAGGGGATGAGCACGGCGCAGAACATGGCCACCTGCTGTTGGTTGTGTTTTTTGTCAAGGAGGTTTGGGGGTAGGGGTCTAGTCTAGGGGTCAGTTTCAGTGCATGACTGTTTGGTTGTTCAGAAATATATGGGTGGTTGTCAAAATTATGGTCCCTTTTTGGGTCCTTGATATAGTACGGCACCTAATATTTAGGGTATCCAAAAAGGGACCACAATTTTGACAGCTACCCATATGGAAGACCCCTGCAACTACGGACTTGCGACCATGGGTTCATCAACGCGTTCCAACCGCCCACTGACCAAACCCCGGATCCCAAAAACCAAACTCCGCAAACTTTCGAGCTTGAGCAAAAGGCGGTGGTAAGAGTCAGCAATGGAACTGAAACCTGTGTTTGCCGACACTCAGGAACTCTAGTAAGAACCATAAACGCAAAAACTTAAGGGCCCCCTAACTGTCCTAGAAGATCCTACCCCGCCCCTAAGTCGGGAACCTGAAGGGGGGCGGGGTTCGGAATGCGCCTGTGCCACCAGAACCGCCTTCTGCATCACCGGGTTGGTGCACAAATCCACCCACACAGGCTGACTGAAGGATCTGCAGATGTAGGCACGGACATTCTCCTCGGGGGCTTAGAGTTGAGCAAAACCTAGAGTTCTGGTTAGGATCTAGGGGTTTGCGTTCATACACCCGTTTCATTCGGGTTTAAGATGGCTTAAGTTTAGGATGTCTGGCTCAGGACTTAAGGCTTTATTTTTCATGCTCCTCTAGACGCCTAGGGTTTCGGGTTGAAGACCCAAGGACCAAATCCTCAAATCCTAAAGCTCCCAAAGCCCACAAATCGCCAACACCCTAAAGTTGCCCAACGACAAAAGTCCCTAACACCCAAAACCCTAAACCCCAACCTCGCAAACTCCTCTATCAGGCCCTTTCCGAGCAGTAACACCCCAAGCAACCTACGGTCTAAACCCTAAACCCTCAAGCCTAAAACTGAAGCCGAACAATTAGGCTCCCAAAACCTGAAACCCAAACCTTAACCCTAAAGTCCGCCAATTTCTCACCCAGGTGTCGCAGAAGACCAGGGAGATGAAGGCCACAGTCCTAGCCTTCATGAGCTTGAGGGTGCAATGTAGGGTTTAGGGCTTGGGGTTTAGAGTTTGCGCTTTTGGGCTTACTGTTTCGGGGCCTTACTACTGGGGCATGACTTCATGAATAGATTATTGGTTGGATTTGTTGGGGTGTCGGCCTTCGCAAGCTGATCGTCGACGTCATTCTGCGCTTCTCCTGCGGCTGCATAGGGTTCAGCAAAAGGGTTTGGGGTTCATGCTGCGGGGTTTCGGGGTTTCGGGTTTATAGAAGGTTTTAGGGGCTTAGGGCTGCTTCCTGCTTAGAGGCTTCCAGGGTTCGAGCTTACTAGGAGATAGGCGACATGGCTTCAACTTCGAAGCAACCCGCTCCGAGCCAGGAGCTGCAGGACCTACTCCGCCGATGCTTGGAGATCGTCCCGAATATTAATACGGGTTTTGTACATATTCTGCACCTTAGATCCTCAACCCTGAGCCCAACCGCAGCATCTTCTTCCGAGCTTGATATGCCTACTTGTGTGCACTTTTTATGCATGCCTCCATGGACCCTGAACTATGAAGCTGTAGTCCTTGAGCCCGACACCCTCAAGCTGCAAACTTAAATCACGCTGAACCCGTCAAACCCCAGAGCCTAAATCCACAGATTGGAAAGCTAAACTCGAGACCCTGCTCCCCGAAACTCCACCTGTCCTTCTTCCTTGGCCTTAAGGATATCATCCAGAAACACGACGCCGAGGTAGTGATGCAGGGAGATGGTGTAAACCGCGATGATGACCGCCGAGAGCACGAAGCCGTTCAGCAAGATGCTCACCCACATCCATCCCAGCACCTCCAAGACATCCCCCTAAAGCCTGAAACCTGATTGCAAAACCCCTTGAGGATAGAATCCGGCAGAGCACCCAAATCTCTAACCCTGAACCCAAAAAAAACAAAGCACCCTAAGGACCAACTGAGAGTTCTGCAGCCAAGAAGCGATTGGCTCATTCTTCGGCCGAGGCGGCTGCTGCAGAATATTCCTGCCGTGGATTTCTATTTAGGCCAAACACCCCCAGAAAACAAAATCCTATCAAAGACTACACCCCCAAACCCCCTAAAACCCTAAAATGCACCCTAAACCCTAAACCCGAAACCCTAAACCCTAAACTTCTATTTAGGCCAACCTACCTTAACCCTGTACTGCCCATGCCCTGGTCTCCTCTCGCCGGGCTCCATGCCCAAGGCAATGGAGGGCGGCAGGTCTGTGACGAGAATCAGGAAGAGAATCCTCCGGTGTTTAGTGTTTAGGGTTCAGGGTTTAGGGGGTTAGGGTTTAGGGTTTAGGGGGTTAGGGTTCAGGGTTTAGGGTTGAGGGGGTTAGGGTTTAGGGGGTTAGGGTTTGGGGTTTAGGGTTTAGGGGCGTCTAAGCTTTTAGGAGTTAGGACCTAGGGATTCCGGTTTAGGTGGTGCCTGGTGTTTCGAGTCTGGGGGCTCTAGAATATTGGAGCTCTCCCCTTCTGTTGCCTCGGACTTAAGGGCACCTTAGGCACTAAACCCTAAACCCTATCCCTAAACCCTAAACCTAAACCCTAAACCCTAAACTCTCTGTCTCTTTCCGCGGCGAGGCTCTGAAGCGGTGTGCGCATCAGAGGCATAGAGACGACGACACAGAAGAAGATCTGGATGACCTCGCTGGGCTGTTCTGACAGAGGGTTTTGTTTTGGGGTAGTGATTCTCATACTTTCAGGCACACTTTCACAGAGTGAGCATGACGTAGTAAGCTGCAAGACACGACTCAGGGGGTTGTGACACATTCTTTGCGCACCTCGGCAATGTGGACAGACATGATGAAGGCCACGAACCTGAAGTTTCAAGGCATGAGGACGTCAAAATGCGGTCGGGTCGGTATCTGTTGCTATGATCATCTGTAGTTGTCAACGACGGGTGCGGTTCGAAGAATTAGGGTTGACTTGTTTGCAGGCTCGTATAGCAAGGATCCTGTCATTCGGGGTCTCGCTGAAGCACTTTTGGAAGGACGCGAGTCAGCCCAGAGAACTCCCTCGACACTGATCTGGGTGCTCCAAGTGTAGATTTGTAAATTTAGTTTCTTCCCTCTTCGTGTTTCATTTATGCCTGTAGATAAGCCTAGGCGACTTAGCAAGTAAGCTGTAAGTGAAATTAAGTAGGCGGAGTTATCCTTCCTATAACCCTGCTTATAAGCTGCTCCCCAAGTCCCCTGACCCGTTCAGCTAGAAACACCATAGCTTCCACACGCTCCCCACATCGCGGCCAAGGGAGCTTCTGGATGCCTGCGTAGATGGACCGCCCTTTCTCCACGGCCTTCACGATGGAGGTGAAGTTGTCATCGGTCAATATCCTCAGATACTGCTGGAGGTCGGGTCCTTGAGGGATGTCTTCTCAGCTTCTGCTGTACTGTGATTTTGTTTGTTATTAGCATGGGTGCATGGAGCCTACACTTGAGGGACTTCTGCACACAGAGGGTCAAGCACGGAGAAACACTCTCAACCTCTGAACAAGTCCGGCACCATCTCTCAATAGTTACCCTACTGGCCCTGCTGGAAACCGTAAAAATTGTGAAACCCTCGACCCGAACGGAAAGCCGGCTCAGCCTATGGCATTCGACCAAGCGTCATCTCTGCCGCACCCTTGGCCACCTCAGATCTTGGATTTCAGGACGGAGGGCTTTGGGCTCATGGCTTAAAACCCGGGGGCCTGCTACATGATCCCTGAACCGAGGGCCCGAAATCCGAACATCAAAAGCCCTGCATCCTGACCTCTTAGAGTAGTCAAGCACTTACTTTCCTCTTCGACATCGCTACCTCAAAGTCCTTGCACTCCAGAACAAGTGTAGGGTTTTGGCTGTAAACGTTTCCCCATACCCTTAAACCCTAAACCGTAATCGCAAAGGGACCCTACACCCAAAACCCTAAACCCCAATAAACCCTAAACCCGAAAGGTGCCTCCGTGCCCTGAATGCCCATCGCCACGCCGATGTTGGCCTCGTTCAGCGCCGGGGCGTCGTTGACGCCGTCGCCGGTCCTGATTTGGAGGGTCGGGGGACTTAGACTTAGTAAGTAGCTATCCGATAGAATTATGAGTACTGCAACCCCAAATAGGATCCTAGGGCACTTACAACTCTACTTGTTAAAGACCTACTTACCGACCCTCCAAGATCATGGGACTTCGTAACTTAAGCAGTACCTCAAAGGGCTCCTTAAAGGGTTCCGATCTCTAGGCGCTTAAGGTATAAAGGATCATGAGACTTAGTAACTAGAGTCATAAACATGGCAAGTACTAGAGTCATAAACAAGGCAACTAGAGTGTATTAGACTGGTATGTACTTCTAACGCCCCCAGCAAGGCAGTTGCGCACCGAGACGAAGTTTGTGCTACAAAAGGGAACCCATATTTTTATACATATTCAGAAAGATGGAGTCGGACTCCACCCCGGCTCGAAAGTCTGGCTGCAAACCTTAAACCCCCAATCCCTATTCCCTTAACCTTCAAAGTCCAAAGCCCTAAATCCTAAACCCCTAAACCCTGAACCCCAAACCCCTCAAACCCTAAACCCCTAAACCCAAAACCCCTCCTAAAACCCCGCTGCGGCTCCTAGCGCGTCTCGGGAGCTCGCCCAGAACTTTCCAAGCTTTGCTCAGTGAGCCGGGATCCGCAACACCCAAGCCCCCATTCCCAAAACACTAAATCCTAAACCCACTTGAAACCTCAAGAATTGAACTTCATATCACGATGTCCTTGAAAATTCTTGAAAGGATGGTTTTTTGGACCAGGGTACTCCCTCAAGCCCAGAATTCTGAAGGCATTCTGAAGGCCTGCACCCCTCGACCCATAAGCCCATCCGGTGGGAGAGGATGAACGGCCATGGAAAGCCAAGTGGCATTGCACAGACCAAGCCCTGCCGCTGGAGGGATTTTACCTCGACCAGGATTTTATGAGTGTTCATAGGAGTGCTTCTGACTTTCCCCGAAACTTATGCAATGCTTTTTCCAGTGACTTTCAGACGGCCTTTGCGGATTCTTGCAGAGGGCCCTAAACAGCTCGGCTTCTGTTTTTCTCCAGACTTGACAGAAAGTGACTTCAGGAATCCCTGACACAGGAGACCTTATGAGCCTCGGCGGCCCCAAAACAAGCCTTCTTAGGGACCAGGACAATCCCCAAACAAACACGTCTGGAGACGTCTATGTCCTTTGGGCTTGGGGCCCTGAACCCCAAACCCCAACGTCGTCGAGGCAGGGCCTAAGCTTTGAGGATCGATTAGGCTCAGACCTATCCTGACGTAACCCTAAACCCTAACCCTCAAACCCTAAACCCTAATCCCCCAAACCCTAAGCCCTAAACCCCTAAACCCCTATACCCTAAACCCTAAACCCCTAAACCCCCTAAACCCTGAACCCCTAAACGCTAAACCCTCCTCCCAACCGGCAAGGGACGATCTCCAGCTTGTCGGCCGGCTTGGCTCGGGCAAAGACACGAACTCGGCTGGTAATATCGTCCTCGGATGGAGTGTCGGGGTTTTAAATGTTTTAAGGCTTCCGGGTTTGGGGTTTGGAGCTTAGGGTTTAAAGGGTTTAGGATCAGAGCTTGGAGGTACAATTCGATTGCACCAGTAGACTTACAAGCGACGCTTCAGGTGCAAAACGACCTAGTGCATGATTTTGAGTTCCATGTCCCTCGTACTGCCAAGCACCATGCTGTTGCCCGTGGAAAATATGATTGCTCTAGGGCATGACTTGATGAGGCATAATGTCAAACTTCGGGAGCACTGCAGTATTTCCAACCGATTCTGCAATCCAAATTCAACCCCTACATACTTCTAGCTGAAGACCACCCTGGAACCCTACTCCGAAAGAAAGCACGCACAAGACAGTCATCAACGCATAAACGTCCCTGGACCTTGCATCATATCAAACAACCTTCCTAAACCCTAAACCTAAACCCTTCTTGGGGCCCCAGCCATCTGGTCTGCTGGCAGGTAGGTCTCGTCGCGCGGACGCAGGGAGTTGCAGTCCACTGCCTCAGGCTTTCTAAGTTTGTTCACCTGATTATAAGGCTACCACTCGGGGTTACGATAAGCTTACTGTTATAGTGCTACTATACGGTACCATCACAATCATGGTTACCATCGCAAAGTTTCTATAACCAGGTTGCCATGACAAGGTTGCAATGACAAGGTCACTATCACATGATGAGTGCTGAAGATACCATGATAAGGCTACGATTAAAGCTTGCAAGAGTGGCCCGGGCTTAAGATGAAGTTTTCGGCTCAGGGGCTGCTTCCGCCACATTGTCCTCCGGCCGAAGGATCTCTACCCGCCTCTGAGCTGAAGGGCTTGGGGTTTAGGGTTTGAGGCTTAGAAGTTTCGGCTTTAGGGTTTGAGGTTTAAGGTTTCGGGTTTAGGTTTGCAGACTTGAAGACAGTCACGGGGTTGGAGCTTAGGGCTGAGGGCCGAGGTTCGTATAGGCTTAGGTGAAGAGTTTGGAGTTGGGTTTGGGATACCACTGGACCTCCAAGGGCAGTCAGTTTCCTCACTTGGTGTGAGTGCCTGACTGATTGTGGCACGGCACCTCTACAGCCTGGATCCCAAGACGTGCTTTCAACAGGAAGACTGCCAATGGTTCTTAGGCTTTGGGATGTTGCTATGCCTAGAACTCTAGAACCCTAAATAGCACCACAGGGTGTCGCCTTGCAATGGCCGTGGCAGTCTTCAGGTAGTCCCCAGTGATCATGACCTCGCTAGGATTTAGAGCTTCGAGTGCGTGGGGTCCCCATATCTCGCTATTATCTTCCACGCCGTTTTCAGTCCTCTTGCTCGTCGCATTACCACATCCACATGTTTCCTTGTTCCCAGCTCTCTGCTCCTGACTGAGCTTCGGACGACTCGGATGCCCGCTTCCCGGGCGCCCAGCACCGACTCCCGAACACCCTCGCGGTCCGGGTCCAGGGATGCAACCATGCCGACGAGAGTCAAGTTGGACCTCGGGGCACTCAAGTTCTGTTCAGGCCCGCAGGTCGAATTTGGTTTCGGGTCCAGGGTAGGGTTATAGACCACGAACTGCAGAAAGTTGCCCATGACACAGACAGGGCGCCGCAGCATGTTGAACTTGTCGTCTAGTGGTACGTCGTCGTTCTCCAACTGTGCCGTGGGCTCTGCCCTGAAGCCAACGGCTACGGCAAGGACTCTTAGGGCCTGGTCGGAGTAAGCGTCCACAACCCCGGCGTTGATGCGCGCCTTCTCCTCCTCACTAAGGGCATACACACCACCATCCTCTCGAAGGATGCTGCTGCAGCTCTGAATCACCCAGTTCGGGGCGCCTTTGCAGACGGTAAAGCCGGTGGTACCGGGGGGCAAGGGCATGCCACCATCGCACAAGCTCGTGCGCCCCGTGACATCGGAGACCGTCAGCATCATCTTGCGCGCGGAGGAGAAGGGGATGTTCACAAGACGGCGGTAGCCCTTCGTCACATCCTCAGGCAGGCCGATCTTCCTGGCGGCGACGACGATAGGAGCCTCGGAGGAATTGCCCCGGTACTGCCACGTCGCTTCACCCGTCTCCTCATCCTCGGCCAGGAAGAGCACCGTGTCACTGCAGAGGACGGCAGAGAGCAGGGTGCTTCGCCTTACTGGTGCTTGAGGGCTTAAGGGTTTCGGGGGATCCCTCATCGTCCGTATATAGCCCCTTGTATTACTCCACATATTCCTTCCTCCAGTCTTCCATAAGCAGGGCACACGCCCAGGTCGCGGTTGGAGTTCACCCCGTTGGGCAGGAGCATGCCCACGCGCTGGACCTGGCCGTTCGTGGGATCGAAGCCTTGGCCGGTGATGTTGTACTCCACGCCACAGGACCACATCTTCGTCATGGTCATCTTTCCTCCCAGGGTTAGGACTCAAAAATATAGGTTTAGGGTTTAGGGGTTTAGGGTTTAGGGTTTAAGGGGGGGTTCTGCATGTGCAGTATGAGTTCAACCCCCGCCCCTGTCAGACCTTCAGTCAGTGTCCCGGTCTTGTCACTGCAGATCACCGAAGCCGAGCCCAGGGTTTCCACTGCCGCGATCTTGCGTACCTCTCGCAAATCATTAAGGTTCAGGGAGGAGAGGTTGATAAGTTGATACTCCGGCGAGATGAAGTGCACCGCTGTGCTTGCGAATCGACAAACGGGACAAGAGACTCGCTGTACTTCGGACAGATAACCGCTTTATGACCGAAGCCGAGCTTTCAGAATGCCAGCTATAGCCACTGTAATTTTGAAACCATCACAACAGCGAGCATAACGAGAAGAACCCTAGGTTACGCTCCTGCCTGCACGTTCTTCTCGACCATTTCTTGGCAGCCGATCGCAAGCGAGATGGTTACGCAAAGTGGGATGCCTTCTGGAATGGCAGCAACGGCCAAGGTCACGGCAATGAGGATCATGTAGACCCAACTGGGGCTCTCTGGGAACTCAGGATCCTGCCATCACTTCGCAAACAACTGAAGGCTTAGGCTGGGAAGAGGGAGCAGCAGGCATGTGTAAACGGGAGCTTCCAGCTGCTGACTTTTCATGGAAAATGCTGGGAATGTGCACAGAAGATCACAGAAGAAGACGGGCTCCTTGGTACCGATGAGCAGGCCGATAATAAACACCACCACGCAGACAGCGATGGCCAGGACGCCGATGCGTGCGCCCAGTCGCTCAACGTTCTCCTCTGGACATTGTTGGCTTCCCGAAAGCGGCTTTTCAGGGTCCCCTCGGGTTGTTCTCGCTTCTCCCAGGCCGATGCTAGCTTGCAATAGGGCTTACATATACCCACGTAGGGGGGGTTGTCCGGATTCCGACCCACCCTTCAAATTTTGCAATCAAAACAGCGTTGACAATCCAGAAAAATCTAAACCCCGATATCATACAATGCATCCCAAATTTCTCAAATCTCAAAACCCGCAAACCCGCAGAAAAGACTAGTAAAGAACCTTGAGAAACCTCGGATGGTCCCACTGAAGCAACCTTTCCGCCCTCTGCACCCCCAACAGTAAACCTTAAACTCAAGACCCTAAACCCGAAAGCGTAAACCCCCAACCCCTAAATGTTCGCTCCTGGAGAGGTGTCTTGTTCTCGGCCGAGGTGGGCAGGCAGTCACACCAGCCGCTGCTGCCACCCTTCAAGATCCAGTCACTCTAGGCTTGGGGCTTTGGGCTTGGGGTTGAAAGAGTAGGGTCTGGGGCTTAGGGTTAGTGCTGCTTAACTGCCTTTCAAGATATTTCAATGCTTTTTAGTTTCAAGGTCCAGGACATGTTAAGCATTTAGAACAAAGTAGATTGAGGATTTAAGCTTTCCTGTGGGCTAGATAAAAATACATGCTTTGGGTGCGCTTCGCAATATCTTCGGGCGTGTAGGAGCGCAGGATGTATACGGCTTGAAGCCTTGCGACTCTATGGTAACCTTGATCGTCCGCTTATAGTAACTCTTACAGCGCAGTCACCCTTACAGCACCCTTTCAACCCTTACAAACTAGAAAACCCCCCAAGTAACTCTTGATGATAACTCTCCACGATGAGTCTTCTCCGGGAAGAAATCTCAACGTGCGAGGTCGACAAGGACTTTTCATTGATACATCCCGGAGGCAGCGCTGTCTTGAGCTGCTTGGACTAGGGCCAGGGAATTCGTTCTTCTTCTCTAAAGTAACCCGATTCGCAGCGTGCCTCCTCGTCTTGCTTCGCCATCATCTTGGCAATCTCGCCGATACGCGTGTTCATCCCAGTGGCAACCTCAGGTTGACTCATACAACCATTTCCGGAAACTCTGTCGGGCAAGGATTGCTCAATCCTCGGTAGCTCAATAGAAAGGGGCAAAAATGTGGTACAGAAATCCCGCCTTCGAAGAAGATGCTTCAAACAGATCAAGGTAACCCCAGAAAAGGAACAACAAGACGTTTCGATTGCACACCAAGCAACCACTATGCCTTTGCACTTTCCATTGGCCACCGGGCATCCGGAGAAGACCATGTTTTCGGGCGTCAACTTCGTCCTGGCACCAACGGATTATGGGTTTAGGGCTTGCGGGGGGGCTTAGGGTTTAGGGTTTAGGGTGTAGGGTTTAGGGTTTAGGGCTTCAGGCGTTGGGTCAATAGTTGGGGGCTAGGTCTTGGGGCTTGCAGCTCAGAGAGCTTCACCCTGAAACCCGAAACCCTTCACTCCTAAAACCCCGAACCCTTCACTCCCTAACCCTCAACCCCAAACTCCAAAGCCACCCATAGTCTGAGGCCGCGGCTGCTCCTTGATCTTCGTGTTCTTGGACCTGGGATCTGACCCCAAAGGGTCCTTAAAGGTAGCCTGAGGTTTGAAGGGCTCCTGTTAAGGGATCCTATAAGGCTTGCTAGAATACCATACGAGTAGCTGCTATCACACTGTTAATAGGAACCCTGATGGTGAGCTTAAGGGTTTATATGAGGTGTTACTGGGATTTACTGGGGGCTCCCGGGGCTTTTGCTGAGTTCAAAACTCCTCTGGGAGCCAAGCACATCATCCGGCTCGCCGGTGAGGGCCTTCTCATCGACTTTCCTGTGAATCATTGAGCATGTCTGATATTTGCACAGGGATTCTGAGGCTCTTGTGCATTTGTAGGATTGCTCAACGTCTCTGGGTTTAGGGTTTAGGATCACCGGACTTGTAAACTTCTGTAGTAAGCAGGTGCTGACCAAGGCTACGGGCTGCCGGGTCGTTCAAGCAAGGACTTAAAGGGCTTTCCACATGACCGATCTGGTTCCGTGCAATTTACGCAAGACACTGCCAACTTCCTTGAGAAAGACCCCCATCTCATCCTTGCATCCAAAACCCCCAGACCCCTAAATGCAGAGAGCTCAGGGTCCAGCAAAACCGAGCAATTCCAAAACCGACGAAAGCAACACTAAACAGATCAAGCCCTCAAAATCAATCAACCCGGAACCCCGAAATCCTTCAACGAAGCGCATTAACTCCCAAAACCCTGCACCCTCAAACCCTTAAACACCATCCCAAACATCCCTACACCCTGTTGTCTTTCAGGACAGCAACAAGGACAAAATCTGTGAAATCCTGAGACCCTATATCATCTATCTTATCATGTCTTCTTCATTATTACACCTCCTCCCTGCTGCCTAAACCCTAAACCCTGAAATCCTGAGACCCTCCTGTCTTCGCCGAGCCGCAGGTCTGCAGCCTCAACGAGCCGAAGATCCGCCGGGACCACGTCGCCAGTCTCCAAGAGCACCTCTGGTTAGTAGGGAATGGAAGAATGGTAGTAATAGTAGTTATGGGATACTAATATGATAGTTATGTGGTAGTAATATGATAGTAATATGGTAGTAATATGGTAGTAATATGGTAGTAATAGTAGTTATACTTGCATCCCATTGCTCCATTCCCTACTCACCAAAGCTAAGCAAGAGCACCACGTCGCCCTTCACGACGTCCACCTTTGCTGGCGAGCTCCGGGGCTTGGGGTTTTGTGGGAAGGGCTTTGATTAGGCATTTAAGGGTGTAGGGCATAGGGCTTAGGGTGTCAGTTTGGGCTTCCTCTTTGTATAACTTTCGAGCTGGCTTTGCGACGACTGAAAAGTAAACCTGATCCCTAAATAAATAAGAGCCAAAGCCACAGCTCGACAGCCCTAAACCCCAAAGCCCTAAAACCCCAAAGCTCAAACCTGACCGGTGAGCTCGAAAAGCAGCACGAGTGCTTCAAACCTCATAGTACTAATTACTAATGGTGTTATACTATTACTGCTATTGGTATGCATGAGTATTAGTAGTAGCAGTAGTAGTAGCAGCAGTAGTAAGGGCTTATGGGTCAGGCATCTTGGGCGTCGATCTATCCATTCTCGAAGGGGCTCTGAAAGGGTGCATAGGGGCTCAAAATTCGAGGTTCTATGAGGATCTACATAGGGTTTATAGGTATCAACCCTTCGTGCTAGGAGATAACTTCCAAGGGCTCGGGTGGATTGAGCTTGTAGTTTGTACTCTTTTCAAGCCCCATCAAACCCTATCACGATGTCGTCTACTGAAAGTCTATAAGAATCTGACAGGACATGTTTCTGGGTTCTGTTCAGAGACTTAACTTAAGTTACCACTTATCTTAAGTTACCACAAACAGGGCTCTATAGTGAACGATATGATTTCCTCATTTCTTTAACTTACCTTAAACTCTAAAAAGACCCGGTTTAGAGTTTGGGGGGGCGGGGCTCCGGGCTCCCAGGCTACGGCTTCGAGAAGGCATCGCCGAGGCCCGGGCCGTTGGAATGCTCATGACCTTGGCTAGGCGACATTCCGTCAGGGCCTACGTATTGAAATAGAGTTAGGGTATAATTTAGATCCGTTAAGGGTTTTGGCTCCAGGTTGAGGCTTCGGGGAAAGGGTTTAGCGGAGCGTTCGGGTTTAGGCTACTAACGGAAGCACTACGTGAACGAAAGCAAGATTTGTCCAAACAGCACGATATGCAACTGACATGTTGGGTACTACGACCTGCGGGCTCTTTACTTCCATAGAACTCTTGGCATGCCCACCTCGCCATCTCGGAGCACGGACACCTCTGGCTGCGACAGCTTCGCCAAGGCGTCCAGGGCATTGCCAGCTTGGTGCTCCTGCCAGCGGATTCTCCGATTGGTGGGGGAGCCTTAATCACTATAGTAGAATAGGGGTTTGCATGACAGAATACGGAACCACCTAAGGAAAAATCTTGGTGATGACTCAGGTGTCTGTGGTTACTTCCCGCTGCGGCTCTTAGTATGACCGCTTGCCGGATTCTTTGGGCAACTAGTGCTCGAACAAGGCGGGTGGGACTTGGCGATAGCAGGAACATATCTGTGCAGAAAATACCGCCCGTTGTCAGCAAAACTTCAAGTTTCTGGCACAACCTTTGGGCGGCTTCGTGCTTAGGGCCCAGTGCTAAAAGGATTCAGGGTAGTTCAGGGTGTCGGCCCTCGTACGGCGCTCCGTGTAGGCCGCGATGCCAGCATTCCTCAGATGCAACAACTCAAAACGAGCGATCAGGAAAAGAAACTCTAGACCCTAAATACTAAACCCTAAACCGCAAAAACCCCTAAACCCTATGCGTAAGACCGCTTTCGATACACTTCTCATCCTGACCGGAGCTGAATCCTTGCTGCCGGCGAGGCTCAAAAGGACCAAGATGAAGATTGCCATCCCGGTGGTGTAGGACAGGATTTCATCTCCTGAGAGAATCAGCGACATTCCGAGCTTTGTTTTATGGGCCCTTTTCCGTATTCCCGAGTTTGGGGCTCGGGGTTTTGGGTTTAGGAGTTTTGGGGTTTGGAAGTTTCAAGGTTTAGGGCTTAGGGATTTACCCATGGCTTTTCTCCTTCAGGATTCATGGCTGAAGGTTTCGATATTGAATTTGATTGAAGTTTCGATGCAGACGGCATCTTGAGGTAGGGTGTTTGAGCTTACGAGGAATCCGATTTCACGGCAAAGGGCTGAGGAATTGTGCACTCTTGAACAGGTTGGCGTGAAGTGCTGAAGAGACCCAACAACCCTGAAATCATTGCCCCCCGAATCCCACAAGCCTGGACCCACATCCCGTCCATTCAGAAAACCTTGGACCAAAACCCCCACAAAGGACTCCTTAAAGGAACCCTTAAAGGAACCCTGAAAGGAACCCTTACGGGAACACCCCTCAAGAATCAGGCCCCTGAAGCCCGCTCGGGGCCTAAGACTCGGATTGAGAAAGACGCAGACGAAGGGGACATCAAGAGAAGACCTTTAAGGGTTTAGGGCTTGGGGTTTAGAGTTTAGGGTTTGAGGCACATGAGACTTGAACAGTCCACACCCTTCTTTCTCGTGGTGGCTGGGGCCGGCACGCTTGCCCTCGTTGGTGGCATTGACGACGATGGAAGCGATGGCGGCGATGATGAGCAAGATGATAATGAAGCCTTCGGGAGAAGAGCCAGGTTTTTCGGGGCCTTCAAGGTCAGGGTGTAAGACTTGTGTAGGCTGTACGGCGTGATGCGAAATGGCGACGAGGTAGTTTTGGGCGGCATATGCAATAGACTCTCCAGCCTTGCTCATGGTAGAATGCCACACATTGCCATCCCCAGGTACCACGCCAAACTACCCAGAGTTTGAGGTTCAGACCTCCCGATTCTAAACGGCGAACAACCCCGAAGCTACAGTAGAGGGCCAAACTGGGAACCCCACCCCAAGACTCCGACTCCCAAATTTCAGGCCCCAAACACCTCTTCAACACCTGAACTCTCAAACTGAACTCTGAACCCCTGGCCCTAAACCCCCTGAAGCCGGCCGGGGCCCCGGCTCGTGAGCTGGAGGATGAAGAGCATGAAGAGCCCGAGCCGGGGCTCTTGCTCAAGCTGGTTGGGGCCATCCTTCCCAAGACTTCTGCTTTCGGGGTGCCTGGCTTGGGGCTCGAGGTGGAAAATGGGGAGGGTTTGAGTCTCAAATCAGAGCTGAAGGAGAAGGCCCGAAAGTAACCGCGAAGATCCGAGGTGAAGGCCCGGCGCTTCGCTTAAGCGTAGGCTCCATGGCTGAACCGGATGATGTGCTGCCAAGCCCAGCAAAACACAATGTCTTCTCGGGTATTCCGGAACACTTTAATCTCAACTTTCCACATGGCGCTATTAACGTGTCGTGTGTATGTGTGTGTGTGTCGTGTGTGTATAGATCGATAGATAGACAGATAGATAGATAGGTATACATAAACACATACATACATACATACATACATACATACATACATGTGCGTGTGCACGTGCGCATATACAGTTGCACGTATGTGTGTTCGTAGTTCTATATGTATGTATATATATATATATATATAGACAGAAATACATGCATACATTATTACCCCCGGCACCTCCAAAGCCCACTTTAGTTGTAGATTATTGAATAGGTCGGTAGTTCGCTATCACAAGACCGTCATCAACATCCATAACATCACCAGTACTCCCCTACTATAGACATGGGGGAATTTTGGAAACTTGCGAACTGCTTCGTTCTGGATTTGGGATTGTATTTTGATAGTTGCAGACATGCTGCTGTTTTTGTACATAAGTGAAACATCGATTATGACACGAAGCCTGAACCCGGACAGATGGTGGAACTTGCGGTGAATGTAACACCTGATCAACATGGGCGTGGGCATTGGGGGGAGGGGTGACCACAGATACGGAATATATATATATATATATATATATATATATATATATATATATATATATATATTTATTTATTTATTTATTTATTTATATTTATATATATATATATATATATATATATTTATATTTATATTTATATACACGTATGGAGTGACGTACGCATGTATGTATGTATGCATGCACGAATGCATGTATGCATTCATGCATGTATGTACATGTATGCTCATATAGCCATGCTCATGCTTCTATGTTCTTGTATGTATGTGCATGCGTATACATACACGCACGCCACATGTGATAAACCAGATGTCATGCATTGCATGTGCTGTAGATCCGAACGAAATCATGTGCTTACAGTGCCGCTGCTGCAGCTGAAACACACAATGCAAGTCAGGTATGTCCAAACCTACCGGTTTGGGTTCCGCCCTGACTGAACCAAGTCCATTGAGCACTGCGAGGGCCTTCTTCAACCGTGCAGCTGCTTTGCTGGAGCCGAGCCCATGTGCTGCATCGCTTTTCAGCAAGGCGCCTCGGAGGACATTCACAAAATGAAAAGTGTCTCACGGTTTAGGCCTCCAGCCTTTCTACAGAGTCAGGCCAGGCACGAGCAAGAAACCCATGACCGCTGAACCCCCGCCTCTGAAGCTGAAACAACAATTTTCTAAAACGTTTGCAGCCCAAGAAACCAGAGCGCGAAAGCAAGCGGCTGGCGATAAATCCCAACAAACTATCCCAAAGTCCCAAAGACCCTCACGGTCCGAAACATCTTCTGGGGAGACTGCAAAGCTGCTCTGGCTGCATATCCTCCACCTCTTTGGCTGTGGCAAGCTTCAAAACCATGAGGCTAAGCCCTGTTAGGGCTGAAAGTTTAGGGTTTAGGGTTGAGCCTTAAACCCTAAACCCCGGACGTGGTCAGCAGTTCTCTATATGAGTTCTTGAAGGATAGGCCTTTAGGTATTAAGCTGTGGGTTTCACATTTTGGTGCTTGGGGTTTAGGGCTGCAATGTGAAGACTCAGAAGTGAAAGGAGCTTGATCTTGCATCTCGAACTCAGCTCTCGAGTCTCGGTTTATATACCCTGTACCTTGAAATCAGAAGCACAGGATCTGACCAACAAGCATGAAGCTCGAGGGTAGGTTGAGGGTTTAGGGTCTGGGGCTTAAAGTTCAGGGCTCAGCGTTTAGCAAAGGACAACGCAGCCGTGAATCAGCAAACTTGCTGGCTTCAAAGCTCGGCCCCCTTGATTTCGGCACACCCAAAACATCTAAACCCTGTGAAATCCTTTAAAAGCCTTTGCAGAATGATTGTCGAACCAGTACACAAGCACCGCAAAACGTTATAAAGCTTCTGATCACCGCAAGTCTTCGGGCCTTCTGTCCCTCAGGCAAGCCCATCGATGAGGAGACTTGTCGCACAAGCTCGCCGATCCCGCTGCGGCTGGACATGCGCGAAGAGAGCCCTGGGATCTGAGAAGATCGCACACATCGCAAGGGGTTTGGAGTCGAAGGGTTTTGGGCTTCGGGGGTTTGGGGTTAAGTGCTTTCCGGCGCTTTGGGGTTTTGGGATTTTGGGCTCTGAGGTTCAGGGTTCCGGGTTGAGTGTTCTTCAAGGTTTGAAGGTTGGTGCTTGAGGGTCGAGGGCTGTCGGGAATTTAGGGATTCATCTTGTCAGCCCCCAGAAGAAACCGGAACCTCGGTCCTAGCTAGAGGTTAGGGTTGAAGGAATCTCGCCTGGAGAAGTTTGGCTCTGAAGTGCAGGCGGGACCAGAAAAGGGTACCAGGCAAGTCGCAGTGCGTAAAACTTGTCATGGACATCGCCTAGTTGGTGCACCGTTTTTGCAGTGACAAAAACAAATGTCCGTCAGAGGTTTCCAATATTCTACATAAGATACTGCACGAGACATGTCTCCTAGTTGGCGTCGCGACTGGCTCTTTCTCACATACATGAGTAGTTGTCATGTTGGGTGCCCTAGATATTAGGTGCCATATTATATTAGGGACCCAACATGGGCCATAATTTTGACAACCACCCACATGTTTGCGCCCTTGTCCAGTTGCCTGGACGAGCTACAGAAAGGCCACTCTTCGAGGCTGTATATTTTCATGACAGGCAGGTACTTAAAGTACTGACAACAAAGACCCGAAGTACTGGCCCGAATTTACCCACTGCTCTGAAATTTCTCCAACCCCTTCGCTCGGAGGGTTTAGGGTTTCGGGTTTAGGGCTTTGGGTGCTTAGGGCTTAGTGTGGTTTAGGTCCAGTATCTTCCCCGTAACTCCCTACACTCCTCAACCTGCTACGCGCACCCTGTGAACACACGAAACCACATAGGCGAAACCCGACTCCGACACGCCTCGCTCTTGAAGCTCCTCTACATTGCGGCTCAGGTCCTGCAAGAAGCAGAAGTGACATCCACATGCAAAAGAATCCAAGCAGGGCGGCTTCGGGATCTAGGATTTGGATTGAACTGTTGATTCATGGGTTCATCTGCAACACCTGCACGTGGCTACTTGGTGCCACTCGGGACGGCAAGCACTGCACAGTCAAGTCGAATGCATTTAAGCACACAGCGAGATTGTAGCAAACGCAAGACGTAAACGCAAAGTCGGAATACCATGCTCTGACGTCCTGATGGTGCTGATTCGACAAGTCATGCGGGAAAAGATGATCCGGTCGCAACATCTTTGTCTGTCGCGGTGGATTACTCTTGTCTGTCCCTTGAAATGAAAATATGCTGCGGAAAAACCAAGCGACGGCGCAAGCTCCTTAGTCTCTGCTGCAAGCAAAATCCAGCCATGGCACAAAAACTTTCCATCGCATAAACTCGGCACTGAAGTAATTTGGGTTCAAGGCTTGATCTTACTTGTCAACGCAAACCTGGCCCTCGCCCATCCAACGACGGACGTGTCTCGGCACTTCCAGCTCTCTTCCAAATTACGTCATTTTTCACCCATCTTTTACACTATAGTCACTATGCGCCGAAAACAAGCCAACAACATGCTTGAATCGTACGGTTCACCAATTCAGTTTTCAATGAATGCAGTTTCTGGCCATGATTCGATTGTGACAGCACATCTGAGCTTCGATACTTTTCCGCTGGGACGACGCACAAACGCTGAACTGGTTTGTAAATTTTCTTCAACACGGCAGCAGTGCTCTTGTAAACCCATGAAACTGATGTCAACCTGTATTGACCCAAACGCTTTTCGTACACGTCGTAACCCTTCTTGGTTTCTCGGAAGTTTGCCCGATCTTTCCGCAATCCCGTCATTTTCGGCGCACTTGCTGGCCACCGCAGCGCGGCTTTGTGATGGCGCCTGTACGTTTCCATGCAATGCTGTCGGCACAAGCCAAGGGCCGGTTTAGTCACGTCCATTCTCTCTGGGAGAAAAGCCTGCCTGAGACATCAGATTACAGTCGAGCTCATTTGCCTGCATCTTGCACCGCAAGCAGCATTCTGCGAGAACTTGGACACGCAGGTGCTTATTCTTCTTGAAGGTCGTTTTTTGTAAACAGCGTTGCTAACTGCAGCACTAAGTCGAACTTTGTCAAACTGTTAAAGAACGGGCTTCACTAAGCTTTCCTACTCACTCTCAAAGGCGGACACTTTTCCTGTCTGCGGAGTGTGTCCTGGTAGTCTCGAGCCTGCACGTCGCGTGTGCGTGACTGGCTGTTCCTATGCATTAGCACTGTAGTTCCTGCAGGTGTACTGTCACAGGTGGAATGTTTAACACCCCGCCTTCGAAGTTAGTGCCGGTAAGTTCCTTACCAAACTGGCTTCGACACTTCGTTCCTTTACAAGACAGTACCTGCACGACTTCCTTTTCTACTCGAAAGCAACTGTTGTTCCTCTGCGCAAACGTTACCGTTCACTCGCAATCCTCTCCAAGGTTGCTAGACTGTACAAAACGTTCCTGAACTTACTTAGATCACCACAGAAACAAAAAGGGCTGTGCCACGGTTCCTGTGTCCTGCTTCACTGCTCTTCCTCGGCTCTCTGACCTCAGTACTGCTTGCTGTTCCTTCACTTCACTGGAAGTTCACTTTGCTTCCTTCTTCTTCTTCTTCGCTGTCCTTGCTGACTTCCTTCTGCTGTGCTAGCTGGTCCTTGAGGTACTCCTCAAGCTGTCTTGCCTGTGACTTGCACTTTTCCTTTCCTTGCTTGTCCTTTGACCCTGCTTTCCAACCTGTTTCCTTTGATCCTGAATACCAGTACCATTGTCCTTTCGCTTCGTTCCACTTCCACTGGTAGTTCCTTCCTTGGAAACCGTAGACTGCAAACCAGTTTCCTTCAAACTCTCCACGGCCTCTTCCTTTCAAGTAAGACGCTTCGTTCACTGGTCCTTTGGCGGAAAGTTCTGGGTCGTCTTTTCCTTCCTTTGTCTGCTTGTGCTGTGTCACGTTCGGTGGCTCCTTTCCTGCTTCTTTTCCTTTTCCTTTTCCTTCTGGCTTCTCGTGCTCCTTTGCTGGTGTTGTGTCTGGCTCTGTGGGTGCCTGTGACCCGGCTGCCGATCCTCTGCTTTCAAGCTCCTGTGTAAGGCTTGCAATCCTTTCCTTATCCTCCTTGCGTTCCTTCATCATGTCCTCCATCATTTGTTCCAACTTCTTAATCCTGTCTTCTTCACCTCTCGGTTCCACTTCTCCTGATCCTGACGCTTTTCCTGCTGCTGCTGCCTTCCTCTCTGCTTCCTTTTGGGCAATGTATGCCGACGACTGCCTTTGGTCTTCCTCTCTCTTCTTCCTTGCTTCTTTCTCCTTTCTTTTCTTCTCCTGCTCCTTTCTTTCCTTCGTCACCTCTGCCTACTCTTGCATGACCCGCTGCGCGAGGACGCTCTTAGTATGCATGCTCCGTGATGTTAGGCTCAACTGCTTGCTTGCGACATACGTCGCTCGCGTGTTCACACCTGTTTGGTTGGTTGTTGATTGTTTGCTGCCTGGCCCCCGCCATGGCTGCCGCCAACATGCCGATGCTGTGGAAGCGTCTGGCTCTCTCTTATATCCATGTTTCAAAACTGCGCTACGTTGTGGTGTAGTCTCTGGCTGTTTCGTTCATGGGGTAAGTCCTTCTTTCCGGTTCCGGCCGGAACTCGCTCCAGAACGCGGCCTAGGAGGTCCAGGGCTGGCTTTTAGAACGCCCGAAAGTGCCCGCAAAGTCCATGCAAAATCTTTCGGGCCATAGTGCGGCCTGGCAGGGTCGGAGTTTGGAGGTTCGACTTCCGCTGATCAGGTGCAGCGCGTCTGAACTACTGCAAACTGCAGGAGAGACTGTTCAGAGACTCACATCTTTACCGTCTCAGGAAAGACTCCACAGAAACTCGAAAAACCGCAAACTTCGCAGTTTTTTTTGGTAAAGACACCGCAAAGACTACACAAAAATACAATGATTCCACAAAGACTCGAAAGATTCCAGAAACATTCCACAGGATAAGCCGAAATTCACCGATGCTTGCAAACTCGACCCACCTATGAGTTCTGCAGACTCGATTCCGACGATGAGCGCTGCAGGCTCGAGCGAACGTTGCAAAATTCCAGACGGTCTAGTCAAGGTGCTGCGGGCCAAACACAGCTCGCAGCAAACTGTAGGCAAAAACTCTGCGGGTTGAGAGCTTGAGAACTCTAAACAGCAAGATAATATTGACATGCGACTTCAAACATCTTCAAACCGTGATTTGTGCAATTCGATTGCGCTGGAAAGCAAATCTACATGCAGTGCAATAACTGGGCACTTGCACAAACCGCTAGCCGCAGATAAGCGGGGCCTGAGCCACGAAGAGACAAGGATCCAGCGACGGCTTGTATCCGGGACCTGTCAAGTGGCACGGAGCTGTGGCCAAGTTTTCGCATTATGCTACCTCTCCGCGCTGTGTCTCCGAACGAGCAGCGAGTCTGCGCGAGCGCTCGGCCCCTTCTCGGCGCATAAGGTGAAAACACTCCAGCTGCGCAATGATATCGCTGCAGTGCATGAGGCTGTATCTGTGCTGGTCCTAACGAGCTTCCCAAGGTCTGCTTTGCAGTCCTGATAACCCGCTTTGGCCTTGCTGCACATTTGGAGCAGCACGTTGGGTATGTCCTGAACGGATTTGTCCCTATGTGGATTCCTGGCCCTGGCTTGGTGTGTCCTGCGCAATTGGGCGGGCCCCCTTCACGTTGCCATAACAGCACTGAGCCGCGATGTACTCAGCCGTCTTTGTGTTTTTTCGGCGCACTGAGATCTGCAAGTCGTGATGAACTCCGGCACAAGCGGAGTTGCCCTTGATGGCGTGCCCAACCTTTTCTAAATCCGTGGCTGCTTTCGTCAGATCAACGCCGTCGCACCAGCATGCTTCAAAAGGCTTCAGGACCTGACGCAGATGCTCATCCTGTGCTGGGTAAGGTCCAAGTAGTGCTGGCTTCCAATGCAATGCAGCCGAAACCTTGCAGCCACACATCCTTGCCATGGCACTTTTCGCAGGAGATCTTGCAAGGAGATGTTGCAAGCTTCAAGCAGATGTTCTTGGAGCATTTCAGAGAGGTGTCGCCGGATGGAAATGCCACCCTGCAACGAAGATCGGTGACCAAGGGGTCCGTGCCAGGGACAGTTGCCCGCTCGCACACTGTCCAGCGAACCGCCTGGCAAAGAAGCAGAGACAGAGCAATCGCTGGGTTTACCAGTGGGGTGCGGCAGTTAAGTAGGAGTCGTCGAAGCACTCGGGCATTGCTTTCATCGCAACTGCTTCTGTTGACAGCTCGCCGCGTGCCTGAAAAGCATATTCCAGAAGGCGAGGCACTCCACCAGAGAATAGTTGCACCTGCCCCAAGACCTCTTCCTCATACCGCTTCCCGGTCCCCAGTTCCATCATCTTGGCAGCCGCTTTTCGAGACAAGGGTGCTTTCGTCGGCATCCGATGAACGATTGGCTGGGTGTAGACGCTAGCAAGAACTCCTGCCATCAAGTTCAAAGTGCCAGCACAAAAGACTCCCGGTCTGTGGGGCAGGCGGCTGCATAAGCCTGACTTTATGCCACCCCGCGCTCTCCGTCCCGCCACCTGTTCGTTTACTAGCAGCTCCGCTTGCTCCATGAAGATCAGCAAAAGACAGTTGTCCGGAGCCCCGAATGCAGCCATGGAAGCCCACTGCTTGAACAGTTTGTCTATGGTTCCACCGTAACAAACCCACGACCTGAGATTTGTGTTGAATCGGTCATCGTGGCCGTTGCCCTTCATAGTCTATCACATCTTCCACGTGTACTCGTCAAAGATTCGACGAAGATGCCAGTTGATGATGGCACAGAATAGCCTCTCAGGATCCTCATCTACGCAAGCATCAAAGACCAGCAGGCGTCCACACTTGCGGCTTTCGGACAATTCCTCCCTCCCAGCCAGGTGTCGAAGGAGAGACGTTTCCGTGCCTGCTGGGCTCCAAAGAGCAACGACTCTCGATTTGGCGGGATCCACAGCCTGGGTCTGCTCGATCCTTCCATCCATCCCTCTGAGGAAGGGCCTGTTCGCCTTCTTGTTGATGCGGGAGTTCAGGACGCGCTGGAAATCTCGCCACCGGGAGGCTGGTGTTGCGATGCCAATAGAACGTGACAACTCTCCAAAAACATGCAACCAAATCCTTGAAGACATGACCTGCGAGCACCAAGAACAAACTTAGAGTTCACATCCCTGCAACCAGATTTGTAGCGGTTCTAATGCCAGTTAGGCCTCCTTTCAACTGTCCCGTGTGAAACCTTTGCCTGAGCCGCAAGGTGCCCTCTACTCGGTAAAAGGTGAAGTGCAACCAGATTGCAGCGGCTACTGCTTTGAGTGTGCGCAATGATGCGACGTGCAAAATCTGTACCCGAGCCTTGCCAGCACTGATCTATTCCACAGGACCGGTCTCATCTATGTATCAGCCTGAGCACGCGCAATTGCTGGCGTGCGATCATGTTCCGACGTCCTGAAAGTGGGTTAGAATGATTCGAACTTGACACTTGCAAGAACACGTCGAGCCTGACTTCGAAGCATGATGCACCCCCGATCGCGAAGACCTCGCACGGAGCATAGATTTCGTGCATCAGGGGCAAGGCACATGACACCTTGCATTTATTCGAATTGCTGCACGCTTCAACAACATGTACAGGCATGCACCTTCACAACAAGCGCTAAATCCAGATGCCACAACCTCCAGTATCTTTTTGAGGCTGATTTCTTCTCGGTCAGAAGCACATGATGAGATAAAGATAAGGATCTGGGAGCTTCGCTTCGTCAAAATGAGGAATTGGGCCCCAAGCCCAATTCAAAAATGGATTAGGAGACTTAGGTTATGCTTCTTGTGGTGGTGGTGGTGGTGGTGGTGGTCGTCGTCGTCGTGGTGGTGGTGGTGGGAGCAGCGGTAGTGGGAGAGGTAGCCGTTATCGTTGGTTGCAGCAGCACGATTCAGAACTCGTAAGATAAATGCTTGGCTTGACAACTGATATCAAATCACATGAAGAAGACTTGTCCGTGTTGGAAGCTGTCTACATCGGGGCATGTGTCACACCATCGAGGCTTGAGCCACGCTGTCAACTCGTCGGAAGTATCCTTTTTTTGAGCTCGGGCTGGCTGTCACGCCATGTGGCGGGCGCAGCACTGTTCAGCGAACGTCCCAAGAACTTGCTCACCTCACCAAATGAGGGCTGATACCAGCCCTCTTTTTCCTGCGGCTGTTTGCCAAGACCTCGCATCCACAGCGCCGGACCATCCACTTGTGGGGCTGCGACATTGCCAACTGCTTCTCTTCCCTCCTTCTGCTGTGCCACCATGACAGTTTTCCGGGTTCCATCCGCTTCGGTTCTAAGCGCAAACAGGTCGACTGTCTTGAAGTTTGCACGACTTGGTAACACCAACTGTAGGGAAGGGCGTTGCGCAGATGCCGGCACCGGAATGCTAGCTATTGCAGCACTCACGTTTGCTGCATCATATCGAGCATCCAGAAACTCGATCAACTTAACTGTGGTGTCCCCGCCATGTGCAAATGGGTGGCAATGCCCTCGTTGGGCCCACAAGTACCGCAGACCAAACGCCACGGCCACAAGCTTTTCCCACCCTTTTCCATCCCCGTAGTCTGCCGTGCACAGGCCTTCGAGCCATTCCCCAAGCTTTTTGTAAGGAGGTCCACACTCTGAAAGGAATCGAGCCATGTAACAGGGGATCCACGTCACCGTGCCCAAACTGTCAACACTTGTCAACGGCTTGAAGCCTTGCAACGCAGTCTGCGGCTGCCCTGTGACGACTTCTTCCAGGAACTCATCGACTAGTCTTTTGGGATCACTGTTTGCGCGTTGAACAGTAAGACTGAATGCATCGCGGTATGTCATGCTGGAACCTACCACACTCCATATAATTGATGGAATCCGTCCGTAGAAGGCCGCTTTCATCGGCGTCAAGCCTGAGCACGACGAGTGCATACCGATAAGCTCACTGTGGTTGGCTGCGAGTGACAATCGGATCAACTTCGCTGCTCGAAAGGAAGGACTGTCCATGTACTGATGCAGTTTATCCCGGGCAGCTTGGATGTGCGACGTGAAAACTAAATAAGCCCCTTTGCGCTTCAGAAAATTGTCCTTCAGGAACAGGGCTGCTCTCTTGTCAGCGTCTGGGTCCTCACTCGTTAATAGCAAGTTGATCTCATCAACCAACAAAACGAAGCCCTGCTGTCCCGAGAAATAAGCTGCAAGAACTTGTGAGGAGCATGAGCTAGATCCATTCGCCAGCGCGGCCTTGACACTCGGAACCGAAACTGCATGCGCAAGGGTCCGGCACAGCCATTCAAAGCTGCTTTCCTGAACTTGCTTGGGCACTTTGGTGAAGCCGTTGAAGGTCACCCAAATGGGTGTGGGCCACCCTGGCTCCGTGAGACGTTTGCAAAGTTCAATTAGGAAGGTGCTTTTCCCCCCCCTCGCGCAGCGGATGGCACAGGTCGGTGGAACGCGGTCAACCGCGGTGTCCTCTTTGTAAGTGTAGTTTTTGATGTGGGACAAGCTCTCGGCGATGGGTCTCTCCAGGTCAATCAGGTTCTGCTCTGGCAGCGACTGTTCCCAGTCCTTCTCTTGGGCAGCAAGCTGATCGAGGTCGACGAGAGCCTGGACCTGAACCTTTCAGGGCAGAATTACCTATGGGACTTAGCAGCCTGAAGGCAACAAGTGAAACCGGAAGCAGCCAAGAGCCCTCTGCTCCGAAAGCCCCTCCCGCTCCCCGCTGTACTGCAAGCCAACACAGGAGACAGCTTCACTTCAAGGGGATCCTTGCTGAGAACTAAAGCATTACCCCAACAAGCAACAACGGTGGACCCCACGAAAACGCACGACGACCAAGAGCCCCGGGCAGGCAGGAGTGCTACAAACCAAAGCCAACATGCTCGCGCAGAAGCCCCCGGCCTGCACTCGTCTTGCCGGAACCCCACTGCTCGGCAAGATCCGCGTGCTAGAGGCAGGCACGAAGAACCCAGGATTGACTCCCCCCCACGGACACAGTAACCTGAAAGTCGAGCCTCAAACAAAAGCAACTGCAACCCGGAGAGCACAAAGCGAGCGCAAAACAGGCTGACCCCCCCCATCTCGAGCCTAGGACTGACACCCTGTGCTGAAGCATCGGCAAAACACAAGAGCACCAGATTTGCCTGAACCTGCAGCAGCCAAGAGCCCCTCCCGCTCCCCGAAGTGCTGCAAGCCAACGCAGTGAAGCTTAACGACGAGGGGATCCTTGCTGAGAGGAAAGCATCACCCCAAAAAGCAACAATGGTGGACCGCACGAAAACGCAACGACCAAGAGCCCCGGACATGCAGGAGTGCTACAAGCCAAAGCCAACATGCTCGCGCAGAAGCCCCCGGCCTGCACTCGTCTTGCCGGGACCCCACTGCTCGGCAGGGTCGGGGGGGAAGGCAAGCGCGAAGAACGAAGGGTTGACTCCCTTGACTCCCCACGGACACAGTAACCTGAAAGTCGAGCCTCAAACAAAAACAACCGCAACCTGGAAAACGAGCGCAAAGCGAGCGAACCCCCCCACCTCGAGCCTAGGACTGACACCCCGTTCTGAAGCATCGGCAAAACACGAAGAGCACCAGATTTGCCTGAACCTGCAGCAGCCAAGAGCCCCTCCCGCTCCCCGAAGTGCTGCAAGCCAACACAGTGAAGCTTAACGACGAGGGGATCTTGAGAGGAAAACATGACCCCAAAAAGCAAAAACGGTGGAGCGCACGAAAACGCACGACGACCATGCCGGAGTGCTGCAAACCAAACACAACAGCAACAACTGCACACGCAGCCCGAAATGCTGCAAACCCACGAGACTCGAGCAGTTGACAACCCGAGGTAGCCAAGAGCCCACTGCTCCGAAAGCCCCTCTCACTCCCCGAAGTGCTGCAAGGAGCAATGGAGACAGCTTAGCGAGGGGATGCTGCGAGATTCCGGTCTGCACGAGAAAAGTCCAAACAAAAACCGGCCTTGGCCGTCGCCTTTGACACGGCAGCGATGCGACTTGCCAGGACTTTGCGCGGCCCCATGGGAATCTTCAATTCTTTCATGTCGTCCGATTTCAACAGCAGCAGCGCGGCGCCGTTGACCTTCTCACCCTTCAGAGTATTTGTAATCTCCTGCACAACCTCGTCTTCCTCGTCGAAGCTCGCCTCTTCCAATGCCGCTCTGACCCAAGAACCGACCTGCCCATCCACACTCGAAGCGCTTTTTCAACAGAGACATCGCAAGCTGCACCTCCTCAACTCCAAGCGACTGGATCTCTTCAGCTGTCTTGTCTAGCCAGTCGGCCTGCAGCAAGGGGCAGCCTCAAACATGTGTCAACGCCTTCACGGCAGCCTGATCGCCTGCAGGAGCCACACAGAACTGCGAAGCCCTCACCAGCAAGCCGGGAAGTGCCTCGGTCGTCGCCTCTTCCACCTCATCCTGATCCTTTTCTGAAGGGGCCTCCAAACATGGACTGATCCCGAAAAGACCTACATGTGCTGCTGGCATGAGACCATCGCAATCAATCCCTCAAGCTCCTCGAAATTCGTCTGATGCTCGCGCCGAGCAGCTTTCGATGCGAACACACACACACACACACACACACACCGAAAGGACAAACCACTCTCGCCTTGCTTTTGCTGTCACGAGGTTCCAAAGGCCCCTGGTCAGAAACGGGCAGCAGCGAAGGAAACGCCATCAGAACTGCACAACCACGACAAACCCTTTTCGCCTTGACGTCTTCATGGTCTTCGGCCTCACCACGGTCCAAAGGGCCATCAGCCTCGGCTCTTCACGACATAAGCTTAATACAGAATTTCCTCTCGGTCTCGGCTTCCCGCCTCAGCCCTGCGTGCAACGAGAAAGTTCCGTGCCCAAATTCCCGGAGGAACCGACCTCGCTCTGGCTTTTGCGCATCTTCCGCACTCCATGCCATATATCACAACCCACCTTGGAAAGGGCACGGCCCCCGCTCCAAGCAAAGCCCGCGCCGTCTGCGATGCTCGCCTGAAGCTGCTCGGGAACACCTCTAACACTGTTCAAAGCGCCGGTCTTAGGCTCTGGCTCACACACCAAGAACAGCGCCAGTAGCACCAGCACACTCCTGAGCTTGCGCGATGTTGCTGGAGGCCTGCTCATGGCGGCAGTCGTCCTAGCTAGCTGTCCTCTGGCTCGAGCAAAAGGCAATCTGCATGAACGAATGGTCGAGCTCCACCTGTTTAGTTTGACTGCTGGTTCATCCCTCCAAGCCAGCCTGTTGACTGGGTGAGTTACCTTAGCTGCATGCTTTGTTGGCCACTTCGCTTGGCTTCTTTCTGTTGCTGAATCAAAAGTGACCTGTTTCGGCTTGGACACGCTTGCCCAGCGCGTCACAGATCGGCCCTGTGTGAGGATTTGTGTTGTATGAATGGTCAACGCTCCCTACTTGAAGGGGCGGGGTGTTTAGTAATCGAATACATGGTTTAGGAGATTTAGACAATCAGGTTAAGTTGAGTTACAAGTTCGTTAACATGAGTTATAAGTGCTGTATATATACTATGTTGTATGGACAACTTAGCAAGTCCGAGGCTTGAAGTAAGAAGTGGAGCAAGCAGTTGAGTCACTTAGCCAAAAGCAGGGTGGAACTTATAAGTAAGATAGAACAAGTCTTTGAAGCAACTTGCCAAACTTAGATAACTTTGTGTAACTGATTTAGGTAAGTGGTGTAAGTTGTTTATTTGAAGTTGTTTTCTTGGCATTTGCAAAGCTTCAAACGGAAGCTTGCATGGAGATCTCCTGCCGCATGTATTCAGGATGCAATTGAAAATTGCATGGAAAGCTGCTGCATTGCATGTGTTGAGGACATGCTCGCATGCTTGCCTTCTGTGTATTGTGCATGACTCCATGCATTGCAGCCATCTATCGCCATTGCAGGGCCCTTGGCTCGCAGGCAGATTTTCAGCTCCGTCCTCCATCTCGCTTGCCCATCATGCCTTTGCAGTCGGATGTGCGAGAGCGGCTGCAGGCTTTCCTTCGAGAAGCCTCGGATGGCGACGGCCTTGTCCGAATCGTGGAGAACTGCTTGAACTACTTGAAGTCCAAGCATCTCTTGACCTCCATGAAGTTGGAGGCGAGCCTTGTGGGGATCCATCCCTGCAACCGGGATGGGTACGGAGTGAATCCACAAGACGTTCGTGATCTTGTGGACTCGATTGTCGATGTGGGCTATGTCCCCACACGTGTGCATGCGGTCGGTGTCGAAGTCGAAGGAGACTGGGTCCGGCAGTGGAACAAGAAGCTGTTCGAGTCAGCCCACGGTCTTCTCGGAAGCCTTGAGCCGGAAGCGATCAAGATCACTTCGATCTGCGGATCACATACCAATTGCGCTTTGCGACTTTTTCAACAAGGTGCAAGCCACGGCAACGAGGTCGTGAGTGTGGGTGGAAAGCTCAGCATGGAGCTTCTTCGTGCTCGGGATGCTTCGTTCCACGAAGCAGCTGATCAAGGCCTGACGTGGGACGTGATCTCCTCCTCCGTGGCGGAAGAGTTCCCAGAGCTGATCAGCTTGATATCCCGGTCAGGCAACACATCGCTTCAACGAGGAGAACATGAGCTACAAGTACTCCGTCGCATCCATTCCACGTACTACCGCTTGCAGACTCAGACTGGCCAAGCACCGGCTTTTGCATCTCTGAAGAAGTTGATATTGGCCAGCAAACCAAGCTGCCATGCCTCCGTACCCCACATGTTTACGTTTTGTCTGAAGGCTTCCGGGGGTGCCGATGCGAGCTTCCTTCAGGAGACGGAGTCCTTTGTGCGGGCTTACTGCCCTTCTTCTCGGCAATTGGGGCCTGTCCTGTGGGAGGCTTTCGGGCAAGATTGCCGAGGGCACCAGTCAGATCCCGTTGCAGCATTTCGCCATGCACTCATGAAGCAGGCATACTTGAGGCAGAATGTGACCATTGCTGATGTGAAGAAGATGACTTCTAAAGAACTCTTCCCCAAGGTCAAGGAAGCTGACAACATGATCCTCACGGTCAGGGGCATCTTAAGGGATGGAGCTCGCGATTTCATGACGGATTCGCGGGTCGTGCAAGCTCTGGCCACTATGGATATGACGATAGCATCGCACGTCCTCGGCATCAAGGTGCCGGACGAGAAAAAGTACAAAACAGTCCAAGCGATTGGGCACGATTTTTTGCTCGTGGCAAGAAACCTGACCGGTGTTGCACTCCCTTTGCCATGGGAGTCGGTGTCTGAGCAAAGTGAACCAGCTGCAACTGCAGCGACTGCTTCCCAGCCTTCTGCTGCAGGTGTGATGCTTGAGCTTGCTGAAGACGGCAGTATCAAGGAACCTGAGAAGATATTGGCCTCCAAGGGTTTCGCTATGGGTGCACACATCCGTCGCAAGGTTGACAAAATCGAGGGAGTTCTTTCAGAAGTGAAAGGTCAGATGGTCTTTGTGAAGATGGCTTCGGGAAAGACGGCCAAGGTGGATCTCAATGTTATCCTGGCTGGAGATTGGGTCGTGTTTGTTCCTCGTGTGCAGCCCACAATGCTAGACAGCTTGGACCAGTACCAGCACCATGTGGATTTTGATGCCAGCATTCTTGCATCGAAGATTCAGCTTGAGCTCTACAAGCTTCACCAGTCCATGGAGTGTGGATCGGAGCACCTGAAATTGCAGCTGAAGCCTTCGAGGATGTTGCTTGCCAACTCGGACATCAAGAAACTCTGCATGGTGCCCATGACCAACAAGGTCGTGCAGAAATCCCAGGGCCAAGGCAACACCATGTTTGAGGTGCAGACGGACTGGCAAGGAGACGACCGCAAGTTTTGGCTTTCCGGAGCCAACATTCTACCCAAAGATAACGACGACGACACTTGCAAACATGTGGTAGTTCCCTTTTGGTTGGTGCAGCACAGCCATCAGGAAGAGGATTGCAATGTGAAGCTTGTTTGGATTGCGGGAACAGAGAAGAGCATCAAGATTCCGGTTTTTAAGAACACCAAGAAGATCCCGGAAGGCAGCCCCATTGTGGCTTTCAGATCTAAAACGGTGCAGGTGGCTCCCTTGGAGGAAGTGGAGGACGACCACAAGACTTCGGCGCAGAAAAGAGCATCGGCGAGCTCAGGTGGCTCCAGCAAGAAGGCTCAGAAGAAGTGATGTTTCGGCATCCGTATGCAGTCCAGTGTGCTGCTATACCAGCAGCAGCCATTGCTTGAGCTTGCAGTATCTGAAAGATTCCATTGTATGTATATGTGAGGTCTGTTTCTAATGCATTGCGGAGAAGGATATGTACAATTGTTGCAGGTTGCAAGCATCCGAGGGGCATGGTTTTTATAGAGCGACCATTCATAGAGTGTTCTGTGCAGCTGCATGGTGCGAGGATCCCTCAGGTGTGCGAGCTTGTGCTTTGCGGATGGAAATGCAGTGCAGCTTTATATGCTTCTGTATGCAAGTGCAGGATGCATCGCCCGTGATGAAGTGCAGGTGCATTGTTGAAGTTGCTGCTTGCATGGATGTGTCGTTTTCGCCTAGGCAGGGCATGTGTGCTCGCCGGCAGAAAACAGCTCCAGCCTCGCATCAAACCATTTCCCCCGTGCATCGCATCATCATGGCTTGCTTCGAGATTGTGACGAAACAGGTTGTCGTGCTGGGTGACCGAAGCTGGATGCCAACCCAAAAGAGTGTCGACGACCGGGTCTTCTGTGCTGTCTCGAAATGGTCCCCGCAGCTTGTGAAAATGATCACAGGCAAACGACTGGACTTGCGGTCCGGCCAAGGGGAATCATCGGGGTCGCTGAACATAAAGCTCTTTGACGATTTGATCGAGAAGAGGCAGGCTGCTTGCGACAAGCTGCTGGAAGAGGCCCTGAGGGACGATGAAGCCGACGACGAGCCCAAGAAGAAGAAAAGCAAGAAGGATAAGGTGAAGGCTTTGGCCAAGCACGTGCACCTGTTGCCGGCGATCGTCGACATTACGATCGATGGCTTTCAGCTGTCGATCCTCAGCGAGGGCCTGTCTACCGGGAGCATCTTCGTGGAGATGCTCTCCGAAAATTTCAATTGGCTCATGGAGCAGGCGAATCGACAAATGCCTGTCGATCGGAAGAAAAGAAGGCACAGCTCCCGGGACAAGACCGATGCCAGCGAGGATTCCGACAAGGAGGCCAAGGTTCCAGCGGCGAAAGCCAAGGGCAAGGCCAAGGCAAAAGCTAAGAGCCCGGCCCTGAAGAGCATCCTGAATGGCTCCCCGGCCAAGAACCCGGCCCCGAAGGGCATCGTTGGCTCCCCGGCCAAGGCCAAGAAGTGATTCTGCATGCAGTCTCGCATGTATCTTCCGTGCATCCATGCAATGTGTATACTTGATGTATAGTATGTATCAACACACCGTGAAAAAAAAATATATATATATATATACATATGTATATATTACTGTCAATGATGCAAACTCACAACGGCTCCACACTTTGATTGCCCGATGCTGTCTTTGGACAGACGACATCGACCGAAGCTCTCTGAACATTGGTGTCGTGTTTCTGCATGCACATTTGCCCTTGTTGCAGTGGGTGCCACGTCTGCGCCATGCTTGCTTTTTCAGCTCTTTTGGCTTGTGAAGCTGCCGTGGTTTTTGGGAGTGATGATGTCCTTTAGCTTCTTGTCGCGAAGCCTTCCCTCCGCTGTGGAGGTGGGGCCCCTGTACAACCACATGCACACACATGCCACCGCCCCAAAAATAACAGGCCGATGTGGTGGAGCGGCTGCAGCTCCACACGGACTTCTCGAAGTCCGGGAGGGGGAAATACAAGAATGATGAAGGCCGGTGCCCCCATGCAAGTGATATGGATATATAGCCTTTCATTTGGTTGCAATTGTTTTGCAGGCACCACGATTTCCTGGTCGGCCAAGATGGGGTGGAAGATCCTGTCTGTTGGAGGCTGCAGTTATATATAGTGTCTGCATGGAATCAAGTGAATTGGCTCGTGCACTCGTGCAGGTGACATGTACTTCAAGCACCCAGACGTGCAGGCCATGAACGTGCCTGCCAGCCCTGGTCCTAGGTGTTTTCTTAATTTGGGTAGAAGAAAACCGTTGTCGCCTAAGGCGGGTGGCTCTACTGGAACGACGCTGTGGGAGACTTTAAAGCTTCTGTGAT